GAAGTCGCAAAGTAAATATCCTGTCTGGTCTGGCTCCCCCTTCCCCAGACTGGCCGACCCAGCCTCCAGCTCTAGGGCAGCCCGATCACCTCGGCCCGGGCCCTGGCTCCTACCCCAGCCGGGGACAGCAGGGAAGAGAGAGGTGTCATCTTCTGGGACACCATCCAGGAAAGAGAAGAGAGAGGGAGACACAGAGAGCGCCCCCCACTCCTCGCAGGGATGGAGGGAGAGAGACAAGGCCAAAGAGGAAGGGGGAGGAATAGACCTGCTCAGGGCAGGAGAGCCATTCCCAGAAGAGGAAGAAGTGGAGGGGAAGAGGAGAGGAGGGAGACATTTGCCCCACACGCTTACTAGATGTGCGACCCACCCTGGACATGCTATTGAACCTCTCTGTGCCTCAGTTTCTTCTGCTGTAAAATGAGGTGGTGGCCCCTCAGATCTCTCATGACCTTCAGAGACAGAGAGATATCGTCAGAGATGGAGGAGGGACAGAGAACGGAGGAGTAGTTATTGGGGGGTGGGGAAAAGGTCCAAGAGAAAGTGCTGGAGTGGGAGAAGAGGGAAGGGTGGGGAGGAGCAGGGCAGGCCCCAGGGCCAAGGACAGAGGTCAAGGGAGGAGGTCAGGAGAAGGCTGGGAAGGACAGAAGAGAGTCCAGGCCTCTTTCAGGCCCTCCGGCGCTCTCCCTCCCTCTTCTCATTCTCCCCCAGATTGTCCCCGTCTCAGCCTGAATCTGCACAGTGTCTTCCTGGGGCTCGAGGGGAATTATGCCGAGGGTAGGCCCGAGGGGAGCAGCGTGGGCACCTCGGACTCAGGCACCATGGATGCCATCCATGGGCCGTCCCTCATGTGACAGGGGAGGAGGCATCCAAGCAGCTGCAGGAGGACCTGAACGGCCAAGTGCTGAATCGGGGCCCTTGCTCCCCTCTCCTCAGTTCTGGAACCCTGACACTCCTCTGATGGGGGGTGGAGGCAGACGTGACCTGGCCCCTGGTGCCATTATCAAAGAGGCAGCCAAGGGGGCTCCCTGGGTCAGGGAGAGAGAGAAAGGCACGGACCCTGGTGCACCTGGATTTTCTCCAGGTTGTATTGGGGGGGACGGGTGGCAGAGAGGACATTGATCACTGAGAGGGGAGACCCCAAAGGGGCCTGGGTCAAGTGTTCTTATCTCCTCTCCCTTAGCCTTCCCCCTTGCTTCTCTAACTCCCTGTTCCCCTCCCCCCACCACTAGCCTCCTTTGCCCCCAGTCCCTGCCAGAAGCCTGGTGGGGTGGAGCTGCTTATATCTGGGGAGAGGAGGAGGGAGGCCTGGGTCCCTCCCAGACTCCCAAGGACTCCCCCACTCCAACCTCCCTCCCTTCCCCGCTCTTCCCAGGATCCAGGGCTCCCCTGGGATCCAGCCTGTGCTCCCCACCCATCCCTGCCCAGCCCCCCAGCACTCTCCATGCTTCTATAGGCCCCCTACCCACAGTGAGCCAGTGTGGGCCGGGGCCTCTCCCCAGTGGGCCAGAGGCTGAGGTGGCCTGGGAAGAAGGAGGAGACTGAACTGGAGGTGGGAGGGGGGCCTAGGAAGAATGGGAAGAAGAGCTGATTTCTACACAAAGAAATGTGCCAACTCAGCAGGTCCTCTCTTCAGGGCAGATCTGGAAACAGCATCGGGAAGCCCGGATCCTCCAGCCCTGCCTCACACAGGGCCTGAGCCCGGATCCCCTACTCCTGCCACACACACACAGCCTGGGAGCTCCCCTCCCCCCAGCATGTCCAGTGGCTTCCCAGCCCACCCACCCTGGGCTGCCCCAAGTGGGATGTACGCCCCCACCCTCCCCCAAAAAACCAACAACATACAGGCTGCCTCCTGGGTTCCTGCTCTGAACCCAAGCGAAAGGATGAGAAGCAGATTCAGGAACTGGGCTTCTGTTTACAAAGCTTCTCTCAAAGAGAATCCTTTGTTTGCATAAGGTCTTCATCCTTGGTTACAGCTGGGAACCAGGCCTGGCCTCTCTCTTATCTCCCAGGCTGACCCAGGCCCCCTGAGATGTAGATGGCCAAGGAGTGAAATCTGCAGGGCCAGAGAGGGCAGGCTCAGTCCCCAGGCCAGCCCCTGCTCCTGCGGGGACCAAGATGGCAGGGGATGGGGAGGAGCCCTCTTCTCTCCTCCTCTCTCAACACCCAGGCATGTCCATCGCTCCCTTCTGCTGGCCAAGGCCACGCCTCCACCTGCACGAGGGATCCCCTCTCAGCCCTTCTCCCAGTATCACCTCCTCCGTCACCCCGACTCTCATTCATCTTCATTCCTCATGCTCTTGTCTCCTGGCTGCTTCTCTGGTGCCCAGGAACATGCCCACGTTTCCCGTATCCTTAAGAAGCCCTCCGTGGACCCCCCCATCCCTCCTAGGTAGCATGTTACAGCTCCCTTACCTTTATGGCATCCACGGCCGATGCCTCTACTTCCTCTCCAAAGCCTCCACTGTCTGGCTTTCGCAGTCGTTCAGCTGGAAATATTCTCTTGAGTCACAAGTGATCTCTTCCCTAAGCTCTTTGTAGCAGTTGTCCCTCAGCCCCCTCCTTCCTTTCCGACTGCCCCCTGCTCCCCAGGGCAGAGCCCTGTCCCCTCATACCTGCAGCATCACGCTAGCCTACAGGCATTATTGCCTATTTGGCTGTTCGTTTTCTCACGGTCCCCCATCAGATTGTAAGCTCTTGGAGGGCAGGACCATTGTTTGGGGTTTTTCCCCTTTCTTTGCACACTCTGTGTGTAGCACACTGCCTGGCACACAGTCAGTGCTCAGGAAGTGTTCAATGAATGGCAATCCAATGGCCCTTGCCCTCTGCTAATCACCTCCTCGTCTGCACGCTCTGTGCCGTCTTGCGCCACGTCTCATCAGCTCCCAGGGCTCGACTCCCGGCCCTGTCTCCTGCCTTTGTCCTGACCGGGGTCCGAGCACCTGCAATGCTCTCTCTTATTCCCTCCTCCTCCTGGCTTCCCTGGATTTCTTCCAGCTGTTCTCACTGAAGGCGTCTCCTGGCTGTGTCCCTCACTGCCCACCCTCAGTGTCCATCCTCTGAGTTACTTCTGATTTACCACGTGTGTGTCCTTTGTGCATGGAGCTGTTTGCATGACTGGGAGCTCCCGGAGGGCACGGCCCACGTCTGTCCTTCTCTGCGGGCCTATTGCTCCGCACAATGCCTGGCACAGTGTGCCCCACTCTTTGTGACCCCACTGGGGGTTTACTTGGCAGAGATACTGGCGTGGTTTGCCATTTCCTTCTCCAGTGCATCCAGGCAAACAGAGGTTAAGTGACTTGCCCAAGGTCACACAGCTAGTAAGTGTCTGAGGCTGGATTTGAACTCGAGTATTCCTGACTCCAGGCCTGGAGCTCTACCCACTGAGCCACCTAGCTGCCTCCTGCCTAGCACATAGTAGGCACTCAGGGCACATCCATATATGTGCATGACAGGAAGGGATCTACCTGTGTATACCTGGGCGCACATCCCAACAGAGCTGGGGGAAGGGCTGGTCAGAGAGAGGTCCCCGGGCCTGTGTATTTTCTTGCTTCATTTGGAATGCATTATGTGCCCATCACGTGCCTGTATGTGAATGTTTGTGTGGCTGGACCATGGATGACTTCCCCATAGACCCTGTTTCCCTCCTCCTTGACCCTGCGTATCCGGCCTCCGCATCTCCCAGTCTGCGGCCCTCAACCCCAGCAAGCGAGGGGTCAGGATGGGAGAAAGAGCCCTGAGAGGCATTTCCTGTTTGGGGGCCGCCCTCCCCTTCCCCTCCTCCTCCCCAGAGCCAGCACCAAATGTCCATCTTCTGCTGGGGGGTGAGGGGGGAGCCTGGAGGACTGAGGAGGAGCTGAAGCTAGATTTGAAGCGCGGTATGTCAGAGCGTGTGTGTGACTGGGAGAGTTAGTGGGTCGGAACATGTGTGTGACTGAAAGAGTTAGTATGTCAGAGCATGTTGTGACTGAGAGGGCTAATGTGTCAACATGTGTGTGACTGAGAGGGTTAGAATGTCAGAGAATATGTATGACTAGGAGGGTTAGTGTGTCAGAGCATGTACATGACTGGGAGGGTTAGTATGTCAGAGCATGCATTGCTAAGGAATGTTTGGGCCTGTGCTAAACACCACAGCTCATCTTGGGAGAGAGAATCAGGCAGTTCAGCCGCTCCCAGGCCGGGGGGGATCGTTTCTAAAACACTATCCAGCCCCCTCCCCCTCCTCCTCCACCCTCATCCCCCTCTCCTGCCCTCCACATTTTTTCTCCTTTCTCTGCCCTGACTCGTAGCTCAAACTTGCTCCTTTCCCCCTGTTCCCCCTCAGTCCCTGGATTGCTTCCTCTCTCCCCCATATCCTACCTCACATCTCTCCACTGTCCCCTCCTGTCCGTCCTGCCCTCTCCCTCCCCCCATCCCCTCCTGTCCTGTCCCCTCCTGTCCTGTCCTCTCCCTCCCCCAGTCCCCTCCTGTCCTGTCCCCTCCTGTCCTGTCCTCTCCCTCCCCAGTCCCCTCCTGTCCTGTCCCCTCCTGTCCTGTCCCCTCCTGTCCTCTCCCTCCCCCAGTCCCCTCCTGTCCTGTCCCCTCCTGTCTGTCCTGTCCTCTCCCTCCCCCTGTCCCCTCCTGTCCTGTCCCTCCTGTCCCTTCTCACCCCCTGTCCCCTCCTGTCCTGTCCCCTCCTGTCCCCTTCTCACCCCTGTCCCCTCCTGTCCTGTCCCTCCTCTCCCCCACACCCCCATCCCCTCCTGTCCCCTCCTCTCCTCTCCTCTCTGCCTCACACCTTCAGTCCCCTCCTCTCTCAGTCACACCTTTCCTCTCCTCTCCTCCCTTCTCCCCTCTCTCTCTCCCGCCCAGGCTGTTTCCTGCTCTGGGTCCCTGGGGGGAGCAGGGGGAAGCTGGCAGCCTCCCCAGACTTTGCCTTACAAGGGCAGGGAACCGGGCCCCAAGTCCCGCCCCTCTCCCCCCCCACACACCCCCTGCCTGGAGGCCCCAATCTCCTCCCCCTGTCAAGAGCGGCTGGTGGGGCCTGGCCAGGCTAGTCTGTCGGGGGGACAGCGATGCTGAGGTTACTCCTGGCCTGGGTGGCCCTGGGGCCCACCCTGGGTCAGGGTCCGGGGCCCACGGAGGAGGCTGCAGCGTCCTGTGGACCGACCAGCTGCTACGTGGTCTTCTACAGGCGCAGGACCTTCTTGGAGGCGTGGAGGGCCTGCCGCGAGCTAGGGGGCAACCTGGCCACCCCAAAGACCCCGGAGGAGGCCCAGCGTGTGGGCCTGCTGGCAGGCCGGAAGGCTGAGGAGATCCCCGGCCAGCTGCTGTGGATCGGACTCCAGCGGCAACCACGCCAGTGCCACCCACAACGTCCTCTCCGGGGCTTCACCTGGACCACCGGGGACCAAGACACGGCTTTCACTAACTGGGCTTCGCCTGCTGGTCCCGGATCCTGCCCGGCCTTGCGCTGCGTGGCCATGGAGGCTGGGGGCAGCCAGCTGTGGCGTGAGGGCTCCTGCACCCTGCCCGTGGATGGCTACCTGTGCCAGTTTGGTTTCAAGGCAGCCTGCCCGGCACTGGCCATCGAGGAGGGCCAGGACGGCCCCACACTCTACACCACGCCCTTCCAACTGGTGACAGATGCCCTGGCCTGGCTGCCCTTCGGCTCTGTGGCTGACGTGCCCTGCTTGGAGGGCGGCAGCACCTCCCTGCTCTGTATGCAGAGGCCCGAGGGTGGTGTGGGCTGGTCCCGCCGGGGTCTGGTGTGCCCAGGCCTGAGGCCCGGCATGGCCAGCTGCGCTCTGGATAACGGTGGCTGTGAGCACGAGTGTGTGGACGAGGCCGGTGGGCAAGTGTCCTGCCGCTGCGCCGAGGGATTCCGGCTGGACGGTGACGGGCACAGCTGTGTGGACCCCTGCGCCGAGGCCCCGTGCGAGCAGCAGTGTGAGCCGGGTGGGCCAGGCGGTTACAGCTGCCACTGTCGCCTGGGCTTCCGGCCGGCAGACGATGAGCCCCACCGCTGCCTGGACACAGATGAGTGCCAAATCCCTGGCGTGTGCCAGCAGATGTGCGTCAACTACGTTGGAGGGTTCGAGTGCTACTGCAGTGAAGGCCACGAGCTAGAGCCTGATGGCATCAGCTGCAGCCCGCAGGGAGCAGGGCAGGGAGCCCTGGGCGGGGAGACGCAGGAGGAGGACGACGAGGAGGACGACGAGGAGGAGGAGGAGGACGACGACGAAGACGAGGCCTGGGACAGCTTCGACGGGGGCTGGACTGAGTCACTCGGGCCCCTGTGGTTGGATCCCACAAGACCACCACTTGCTTTTGACCCACCTTACAGACCTCTGCTTCCCCACGTCAGCCCCACTAGGCCACCTGTCTTCATCGCCCCCAGATCTCCCTACCGACCCCCATTACTGTCCATCACCCGGCCCCCCAGGCTTCCCTCCACACACCACCCGTTACCCCCTGCCCACTGGCTCCCCATGATACCAGCAACCCCCCCCCCTCTTCCCCCAGCCTACCAGCTCCCTGTCTTCTCTGCTACCCACCCTCCTGCTCAGGAGCTTCCCGCTATTCTTGTTTCCCCACCCCCTTTGCCTCCAGTCCACAAACCTCTGGGGGGTTCTACCACCCACCTTCCCACGCCCCCTGCACACCAGCTCCCTGCCCACTCTGCCACCAAAACTCCCTTGCTGCCAACCCAGCATTCCCCTATCCTTCCTACCAACCCTCCCCCTTTGCCTCCTGCCCGTAGACACCCGGTAGCCCCTGGTGCCCACCGACCTGCCCCCTCTGTCCAACAGCCCCCTCTGGTTTCTGCTACCAAGCCTCCTCCACCCTCTGCCTCTCAGCTTACCTTGATCACTGCCTCCCACAGGCCTCTGCACCCAGCTCACTCATCCCCTGCCACACAGTCCTCTTTCCAACCCTCTCTCCCTCTTCCCCTTTCCACAGACCAGGCCCCACAGCCCCCCACCTCCCAATCACTCAGGCCCCAAACTTCACACCCTCCAGCCCCATACTCTTTGACTCCTTCTGAAGCTCTCAGCAAGCTTCCGGCTTCTCCCACCCCTTCTCCGCTCCCAGGAACCCCTTCCCACCCCCCAGCACCCCCCCAGACCCTGGTCCAGCCCTGGATGTTCTGGGATCCTCTCTGCCATCTCCCACAGCCTGGAGCCGGAGTCGCAGGGATGACCGTTGGCTGCTGGTGGCCCTCCTCGTACCCACCTGTGTGTTTCTGGTGATTCTTTTAGCCGTGGGGATTGTGTACTGCACCCGCTCTGGGCCCCGGGCCCCCAACAAAAGCATTACAGACTGTTACCACTGGATCACAAACTCGGGGGCCAAGGGGGAGACTGAGCCCAAGGGGGCCAGCCTGTCAGGGGTCATGACCTGCAGAACCAGTGTGTGATTGGTGGGAAGGAGGAAGATGGGAACCCCTCCCTCCTTGGACCTATAAGGAGCTAGCCCCTCTCCCATGGAACTGGGGGTAGGGGGACCCCATTAGACTGAAGCCCAGGAAACTGCACCCCGGGACTGGTGGGGGATCCAGCTGTCCCCTTCAGCCCCAAGCTCACTACTATTCCCCATAGGGTTGGGGGAACCCAGGTATGCTGCCCCTCCACCCCTAGCTCGCCTCTGTGGACACTGCTGCCTTTGACAGACACACCTGGCTCAGCTCTCCTGCCAGGACCCAGGCACCAGCCCACTGCACTCACTGTGGGGCACCAGGCCTCCTGGTCTGCCCTGCCTTCTCTGCTCACACCTCTCTAGTCCCCAGCCCCACCTCCCAGCCTCCCCACCCAGCGGAGATCGCTTGGCCCCAGGACCCTGTCAGGGCTGGGGTGGGGGGGCATTGGTGGGAGGGGAACCTCACCTGGACTGGCCAGGTCCTGGAATATTCTCCAATAAATGGGGTGGTGACCCTTAGCTCTGCTTTTCATATGGGGGCTGGGGCCAGGGCTGAGGCCCCCAGGAGGAGGAGGAGGAAGAATGTGTTGCTGGAAGGGAGGTAGATAAGAAAGGTCCTATGCCCAGAGAGAAGGCATGATGGGAGGCCAGAGAAGGACAAAGTAGGAAGTAGAATTTCTTGTTTCCTTCCCCCCCCCCCCCAAGCCTCAAAGAGTATCTGGCATTGAGGGGCTGGGAGGGGAATGTCACAGGATCAGTATTTGGAGGGACAGAGCACCTACAACAGTGGGGAACCCGCAGCCTGGAGGCCATCTGTGGTCCTCTAGGTCCTCAAGTGCAGCCCTTTGACTGAATCCAAACTTCACAGAGCAAATGCCTTTCATAAAAGGATTTGTTCTGTAAAACTTGGACTTAGTCAAAAGGCCGCACCCAAAGACGTAGAAGGCCACAGGTTCACCACCCCTGGCCAGAGTGCCATACCTTACAGATGAGGAAACTGCGTCCTACAGAGAGGCAGGGACTTCTCCCAAGTCACATGGCTAGTTTGGGCAGATCTGGGATTTGAACTGAGACTGTTTAGCGCTTTGTTCTCACTCTGACCCCCACGGGCCTGCTGGGATTAGGAGTTGCGAGATAGACAGAGAGGTGGCAAGAGTGATTTGGAGGAAAGCTGGGAACTGGACTTCAGGGCCCCTTATCTCCGCCCTGCCAGGGTGTTCCCACTCCTGTCTCCTGGCAAGTCCCCATGTAACTCCTGGGAGCCTGCCCTCTCCCTGCCTTGGAGGTCAGGCCCCCTGGACCAGGGATGTTGAAGGAAGGCCGGGCTTTGTAGAGAAGAGTGGAAGGTGAGAGAAAGACAGATTTTGAATTTGGTCCCAGCTCTGCTTTGGCCAGGCAGTCCCCAACAAACTGTTTCCCAAAGCCGTAGTCTTAGACCTCTTCAGTCACCCTCAGCTGAGAGGAAGGAATGGGCCTGGGAAGATGGAGGGGTCTGAGGAGGGAGAATCATAGACTCTAGGCATTTCTAGATCTTGCTTTAGAGGGGGAAACTGAGGCACGAAGCAACAAGAGCCTAGGTGCAAGTTCAGGACCCAGGCTCAGAGGGCTGGTTTTTTCCTGGGGGGCCCACAGGCCAAGAAGGGAGGAGGCTGCGGCGCCTGGATCCCCCACAGGCCCTGTAATTTCCCAGTCCTAGCATCTAGGGGTCTCTAATTACAAGCAAGGCTGAGTATCTCAGCCGCAGCCCCGCCTCCCCTGGGGCCTCCATCCCCTTCCCATGAGGGTGGGAACGAGAGCCTGAGAAACCCAGGTCTGTAGCAGAGGAGAGAGAGGGGACCTGGAGCACTTCCCTGCCTCCCCCCAATCCCCCGCCCCAGCCTGGGCCTTGCTTGGCCTTCAGAGGACAGAGCAGTAGGTCCCCAGGGAGGCCTCCCTGAGGGAGTCTGGGAGGGGGAGGGAACACGGCACAGCAGGGGAGTCTCAGTGGGGACCAGGATGGGAGGGGGGCTGCTGAGGCCCCCAGCAGAGGGAAGGAGGGGCCTGGACCCAGGCAGCCTCTGCTCTCACGTTCCCTAACTGAAACCAGACGTGCCTCCAGATCCCAGATCCGGCCTGTTTCTAACGTGGGATCCCAGCCCAGAGCCTGATGGAGGAGGGGGGGGGGAAGGGAGAGAGACAGACAGAGAGAAGGAGGGAGGGGAGAGAGACAGAAGAGAAGAAAGAGAGAGGAGAGAGACAGAGAGAAGGAGGGAGGGGAGACAGAGAAGGAAGGAGGAAAGGGAGAGAGAGAGAGAGAGAGAGAGAGAGAGAGAGAGAGAGAGAGAGAGAGAGAGAGAGAGAGAGAGAGAGAGAGAGAGATGAGCCCCGTACTCTTCACTGGTCCCGGAACAAGCTTAGAAGTCCAGGAGGCAGGAAGCCTGAAAGCCCAGCCTGGGGCCGAGGGTCTGGGACATGGGTGGTTGGGGTTGGGATGGGAGTGGGATGGGAGGAGAGATCGTGCAGAAGGCTGACCTGGGATCCCGGGATAGGGATGAAGGAGGGAGTGGTGGTCTAGCAGGAGGAACGAGGGCCAGGACCGAGGAAAGGACCGAAACCCGAGTCGGGGAAAGGAATAGAGCCCGGGGTAAGGGCAGGTCAGGGGACAGCTCCAGGAATGGCGGGAGCAGAGCGGGGCTCGTCAGGGGCGGAGTCGGGGACAGACACAGTATAGGGACAAGTCCAGAGGAAGGACCCAGAATCAGGACTGAGGGCAGGGACGGGACAGGACAGAGGCGGAGACAGGGATGGGAACCGCGACAGGGCCAGGGGTCGAAGGAGGGGATGGGGCAGAAGAGGAGCGGGACGGGCGAAGGGGGGAGAGAGAGGGGAAGGGATGGGCCGAAGTCTTAGGCAGGCCAGGGCGCGGGGCCAGGGTCCGAGGGGGCGTTCGTGGGGCGGGGCTGGGGTCGTTCCCTTTGAGCTCCGAAGACGTCTAGGATGCCCCAAGGGCATCAAGGAGTTAACTCTGCATGGCCAGGGCTTGGGGGGGAAGGGGAGAGGGCGCCGGGAGGGGGCCGCCGAGAGCTCTTTGTCATCCCCTAATGAGCACCAGATGCGGGGTGGCGTGCGGCCCCGAGCTCTCGGCCCCGCCCCCCTGCCCCGCCCCAAACCCTGACTTTCTCCAATTGGAAGTCACAGGCTCCACCCCCAGAGAGCCGAGCCTCCGCAGCCCTCAGGCCCCGCCCCCTCCGTGGGCCTTTTGGGGTTGGAGGACTGGGGTCTCCGACCCCAGACCCGGATTCGGGGGGTCTCCGGAGCCGGAGGGCCTCCGAAGCCACCCAGTCGGGTCGGAGCAGGCATCCCCGCCAGGCGCTTGCAGACATTCCGTTACGGGGACCTCCTACAGGGGTAGTTCCCTGATGGGGACTTTCCCTAATCCCGGACACGGCGTTTTGCTCTAGGGGGCCCAGCAGAACCTTTTCTTTTCTTTTTCCTGGCCCCCCCCATCCCGCTCAACTCCTGGGGCGCAGGTCAAACAGTCCAAATTGGGACAAACGAAAACTCAACGCGGTTCAGCAAACATTTATTGTGCGCCGGCGGGGGCGAGGGGGGTGGGGGGTGGGGTAACCTGGGCTCGAGAGCTGGGGGCGGGGCGGGGCTCCCGCGGCCCCTATGAACGAGCCTTTGTCGCCACCTACTGCTCACACGGCCCAAACGCAGCCAGGTGTCCGACCGTGCCCAGCCCCATCTCGTCCCACCCGGACGCCCAGCGCTTTTCCCGCTCCCTCCCGGGCGTGGGAGGCCTGATGCACCAGCAGCGGCCACTGTGTCCGCGGATGCCCTGAAGGTCAATCCGAGCTGTTGCCAGGCCTGTCGATTTCACCTCTGTACCATCTCTTAGACACGCCCCCTCTGTCCTCTGACACCGGCCACCCTCCAGTGTGGATCCTCGCCAACTCCTGGCTGGGCGAGTGTAAAGGCTGCGGGGGGTGGGGGTAGGGGGGTCGTGGCTGCCCCACGTCTCTCCCCACTCCACTCCGTCCTCCATTCAGCCACTAAAGGGACTGATAAAGCCCAGGTCTGACCACATCACCCCCTAGAACTCCAATGGCTGCTAAGCTGTGCTTGGCCTTAATCTAAACCTGCCCCCTCACACCTCACTCCCCCCACATCCTCTTCCATCCAGCGTCACCGGCCTCTTCTAACTCTGGGCATTTTCCCTAGCCGTCCCCCCTGCCTGGCAGGCTCTGCCTCATCATCTCTACTTCCTGATTCCTTGCAGTCCTAGCTAAGACCCCTCCTACAGGAAGCCCTCCCAGTCCCCTCCAAGTCTAGTGCCTTTCTACTCTTCCTATTTCTCCTGTACATAGCTTGTTTGTACTATATATTTGTTTCTTTGCAGCCTCCTCTATAGATTGTAAGCTCCTTGAGGGCAGGGACTGGCACTTAGTAGGTGCTTCATAAATGTTGGCTGACTGACTTGTTCCAGGTCGCACAAGGGGCTAAGCTGGGATTCCAGCCCAGAGCCTCCAGACTGGCACAGTGCCAGCACACAGTAGGTACTCAATAAATTCTTGTTGATTGAGTATGGGGAGGGGGGACTATCTCAGTCACTGGCTGGTGTTTAAAGGGCAGGACTCTCTAGCCCAGCCATGGGAGGCAGGGGTCTCTTCACCAGAAGGACAGACAGCTGGCAGCAGGCCTGGGAGACCCGGGGCTTCCCCATGGATGGTGAGTACCGGGGCATTGGGAATCACCAAGAAGCCTCATGGTCACCACCACCATTAGAGCCAGAAGGAATTTAGAGACCACTCCATGTCCTAGAGAAAGCAACTGAGAGAAGCTAACAGCCCAGAGTCCCACAGGCCATAATCGGCAGAATCCGCATCCAGACCTGAGCCAGGCTGCTTTTGCCTCTGTTCCAGCCTCCTCTTCCTTCCATTCACTCGCCACTATTGTAGTTGGAAGAATCCTGAGAGATCCAATCTGGCCTCATTCTCTTGATGGGGAAACTGAGGCTACAGAGGAGAAATGAGCTGCCCAAGGTCACACGGGGGGGGGGACTCAAGCTCAAGCAGGGTCTCATCCCAGGCAGTGCCTGTTCTTAGTGTCCTTACTATGGGACCCCCAGACCTCTCCCAACCACAGGCCTCTGGCTCCTAACTCGCTCACAGTATGAAGAAGCAAATGGTCTGTGCCTCCATCGCCCTCCCTGGTCCAGGCCTGCCTGTGGGATAAGCCAGATGTACAACCATCCATGTGTCTGCCAGAGGCCTGGTGGGTAACTTATACCAAAAGAGAGAGCGCTTGGAGTCTCTGCCCCTATTGACCTCATCTTCTCCATCTGTAAAATAAGTGGGCATGAAGCAGGGTCTGCCAGGCCCCTCCCAGCTCTGACATTCCCTGTTCTAAGTTTCCTCCTCAGTTCTCTGACATTCCCTGTTCTAAGACTCTTCCCAGCTCTGACATTCCCTGTTCTAAGATTCCTCCTCAGTTCTCTGACATTCCCTGTTCTAAGATTCCTCCTCAGTTCTCTGACATTCCCTGTTCTAAGACTCTTCCCAGCTCTGACATTCCCTGTTCTAAGATTCCTCCTCAGTTCTCTGACATTCCCTGTTCTAAGATTCCTCCTCAGTTCTCTGACATTCCCTGTTCTAAGACTCTTCCCAGCTCTGACATTCCCTGTTCTAAGATTCCTCCTCAGTTCTCTGACATTCCCTGTTCTAAGATTCCTCCTCAGTTCTCTGACATTCCCTGTTCTAAGACTCTTCCCAGCTCTGACATTCCCTGTTCTAAGATTCCTCCTCAGTTCTCTGACATTCCCTGTTCTAAGATTCCTCCTCAGTTCTCTGACATTCCCTGTTCTAAGACTCTTCCCAGCTCTGACATTCCCTGTTCTAAGATTCCTCCTCAGTTCTCTGACATTCCCTGTTCTAAGACTCTTCCCAGCTCTGACATTCCCTGTTCTAAGATTCCTCCTCAGTTCTCTGACATTCCCTGTTCTAAGACTCTTCCCAGCTCTGACATTCCCTGTTCCAAGATTTCTCCCAGCTCTGACATTCCCTGTTCTAAGACTCTTCCCAGCTCTGACATTGTGTTCTAAGATTCCTCCTCAGTTCTGACATTCCCTGTTCTAAGATTTCTCCCAGCTCTGACATTCCCTGTTTTGAGATACCTCCCCAGTTCTCTGACATTAGATGTCCTGAGTGTAAAGTTCTGTACTCTACGTGAGGGGAAGCCAAGAGCTCTGGCTTGCTCTGCTGTGACTAGAAACAACCTCCCTACAATCTCTATTCCTTGCTAGGGGCCACCTCATCTCTTACCTTGCCTGTCTAGTCCATCATACAGCTATCTCTAGATGAGAAGCAAGGCAAATATCTCCCTACAGGCCTTCCTCTTCCTTCCAGGTCACTTCCTTGGGTCCCTGGAATAAACCTCCCCTGGAGAGGACACATGAAGCCCCCGACAGATACAGAGGGAGGATGGGTGGCCAGGCACCTGAATCAGAAGAGAGCTGCCCTCCCCTGGGAAGTCCCTGTTTCCCTGCCAGAGTCCCCTCCCAGGCATGCTAGTGCCTGCATCATGCCTCCAGCCCTGGCTTCAGTTTCCCCCTTTCCTTAGCTCATTGGGAACCTCCCCATGGATCCTCTTTTCAGCCCCAACCTTCAGAAAACCAGGAGGGGAAGCACAGCTGTTTCATACCTTTTATTTCTCCCTTGTCTTCTTTGTAAACTTCATCCTGGGGTGATGCCCAGGCCTCTCCAGAAAGGGTTGTAGAGTACCGTTAGAGGGTCCTCCCAGAAGCATGTGGCATCCAGGCAGCCTTTGGACAGGCAAAGGAATCATCCAAGGAGAGGGAAACCTCTCCAGATACGTCAGGGTCCACCTGGACAAAGCTGCCCCTGGGTGACAGGGGGGCCTAGCTGGGGTTGGGACATTAAAGAAGGGAGGGGGCTTTCAGAGCCTTGGGTGGCCCACATGCTGCCCCAGTACCCCCCACCCCATAGTTGACTCCCTTGGGGTAGAGAAGACAGTTAAGAGAAGGAGCATCTTGACAAAGGAGACGAGAGGGAAAAAATGTGTCCCATTGGAGGGAACAGGAAGGAGGCAGGCTGAGCTGCCCTTTGAGGTCCTCGTGGTGAGGGGACAGGGCGCTAGAGACTGGGAGCTTCGGGAACAGGCTGAGAAGGGGTCCCCTGGGGAAGACTGAGGATGGGATGTGGAAGGGGTACAGCATGAACCAGAGAGAGGTAGGGTTGTGGCCCACCTCCTGCCGCCTTAGTCCACTGTGTCTCCCCATTAGGGCATCCAGGCGACTGCCCCTTGGGTTGGCCCTTCCCCCAGTTGGGGCTCTAATTCCCCTAGCCTGTGCTGGAAGACTAGCCAGCTCTGAGCTCAGAGGAGCTGATGTGGTCCTGGCAGAGGTGGTGTCTGCAGAAGGCCTCAGATTCGGGTATTGGCCTCATCACCAGTACTGACTCCCAGGGACTGAGGGAATGAGCCGTAGGCCATTGCACTAGGTCTTCTGGGTCAGCCTGGCCAAGCCTCTCATCACCTCCCTTCCCCCATTCCTCCCCTTTTGTGCTTCTCTGAGGATAGAACCGTAGGGAAGGAGGGTGGGGCACTGTCCCCAAAGAACCAGGGAAGCAGAAGCTTTGGGGAACAGAGCTCTCAACTCCCAGTTTAGGGGTGCCCCACCTTGCCTGGGCTTGAATTTCTCCGGAGCCACTTCTAGCTCCAGCTGCAAAGGGGGCATTTGCCCTGGGGGGTAAATGAGCCCTTGGCCCCAAGGAAAGGTAACATTGCCCTGGGGACGCCCACCCCCCACCCCAAGACCGCCCCAGTACTTGATATCGTCCGGGTCACCAGTAGCAAGGCCTCAGATGGCTCCTTAGCCTTAGGGGAAAGAATGTCCACAGGAGAGAGCTCAGGGGAGCTCTGCCTCCCTACCATCCCCTGCTAGTTCAAAGCCCCCTCCCCCAGTGGCACCTGGGCATTGGTTTCTACAGCTACTGGACTGTCGCTCCCCTCAAATGCTCGGTGCTTTTGCTATTTTGGTTCATACAGGAATCAATCACTCATCTGGGTTCTGGGTGTGTGGGTCCTCTGCCAGTCCTTGTGGCCACAACACCCATCTTTTGCTCAGGGCACTCAGATTGCACCTTGCCCATCCCCCCCGGCAACCTCCATCTCCGTGAACAATGAGAACAGGGAAGTAGAGAGCATCCTGGTAGCAGGGGGGGCTCTCCAAGGGCTCTGTGTCTTCCCCCCGACGACCCAGCGGCCCCCCACTCAGGCTTCGGAAGACCCCTGTCGTGGCCCGGCTCCCACCTCCCAGGGAAAGACGGCTTCGGCTGAAGGGCAGGCGGGACCCGCTAGCCCGCGACGGGGGCAGCGAGTTGCTGCTGACGGAGCGGCGGCAGCGCTGGCAGCCTCTGAGGTAGGCCGTGGGGCCGGGGCCCATCAGCATGGCCTCTGAGTAGCTGGGCACCAGCTGCCGATTTGAGCAAATGTGCCACTCCAGTTCTGTGAAGTCCACAGTGGCTACTCGGGATAGTGACGGGCCTCCAGGGGCATGGCCGGGTGGGGGCGAGCTGGCCCCAAACAGCTTCTCCACCTGGTAGTGGACATGGGCTGTGCCATAGGCAGCCACCACACGCAGCGGCCACGACAGGGTGGCCACAGATACCAGCCAGAACACCCAGGCCCGGGCATACCAGGGGGGGCTGCGGGGATCTGCAAACACCATTAGCGACTCTCGGAAGTCCACATCCTTCAGATGCATCCCTTCCCGGGCCTCCAGGTAGTCATCGAGGCCCTCATTGGCGCCAAAGAACCGGGCCCTCTGAGTGAGGTATGCTGCCTCGGCTTCCGCGCTTCCAAAGCTGAAACACTTGGTAAAGCGCAGGCGGGTAGCAGGGTGTTCTGACAGCCCCACTAGCTCTTTGGACACATCTCGGACACCATGGGCAGAATAGTCGAATTCGCCCCGTGCTGTCCGGCTATCGGCCCGCTCGTGGTAGACCTGGGTTGTGGTGTATGCGTCGCCGTTGCGGTAGCGGGTTATCTGTCTGGTTCGTCGAACGTAATGGTAGCTGGTGGCCTTCCACCAGACACAGGGTGGGGCCTGCTGGAGGCGGCGGATCAGGGCCAGCACTGTGACCACATCTGTGCGTGGTGCCCTGGAGGCCCTCATGTGGCAGTGCCAGCACTCAGCCAGGTACAGGAGGTAGAGGAGGGAGACGAAGGCCAGTGGGATGTACAGGTAGCCATCTGAGCACGGACTGGCCTGGTAGGTGGTGGGGGTCCCATGGGAAAGGCCAGTGCCTATGGCCAGACGGGGTACGGTGGCCAGCCAGCACCAGGCCACCACAGCCCCACAGGAATGGATGAGGAGGGTGAGCAAGAGGCACTTCCAATGGGACTCCCGGCAAAGGGAAACTCCCAAAGACTGCTTCAGGGGCCGCTGCTGTGGGGTGGGGAAGTAGGGGAGGGAGAGGCATGGGAAAGAGGAGAGAAAGAGAGAAAGAGAGAGAGAGAGAGAGAGGAGAGAGAGAGAGAAGGAGGTGGCAGTCAGGCTGGCATAGAAACCAAGGGAGTCTCGGGAAAAGGGGCCCTTTAGTGCGACCTTGGGACTGAGAGAGAATTCCGGAAAGGGAGGGAGAGATGGGAACAGGGATAGAACAGAACAGGAAAGGAGGTGGCAAGTCTGGGGAGGAGAGCAGTAGGCCTGGGGGCCAGGAGAGCAGCAGATGGATCAGTAGCCCCCACTTTCCATCTGTGCAGTGGGGAGATGGAGTCAACAGACAAGCTGGGTTTGCTGGTCAACATATCCCTACTTCTTCCTCCCCCCGCCTCCAATTCTCCTGGGAAAGGCTCATTCACCCAAGGGAACATCTGGGCTCTCCTCTGCCTGGCTGAACTTCTGGAGAGCCCTGTACCCCTCAAGCTCCAGAACCTCTCCCCAACACACACACACACACACACACACACACACACACTCACACACACACACATACATACACACACTCACACACACATACACACACACACACACACACACACACACACACACACACACTGAGGGAAGGAGGAATGGGAATGAAGGCAGAAATGTCTAAGGAGAAGGGAGAAGGAGGTGAGCATGTGGAGGTGGCTGAGGGAGGGGAAGATGGGGAGAACAGAAAGCAAAAAAAAAGCAGGGACCAGGGAAAGAGGCCGGGGGTGAGAACATGGTGGTGGTTACCCAAGCATCTGAGGAGGAATCATCAGAGAGAAGAGGAACTCCAAGCCCTCCTCACCTAACCCCTGCCAGTACCCCACCCCCCACTCCACCTTCACACACACACAGCAGGCTGAGAGAAGTCCAAGGAGGGAAAATACCTCCCATCATGGACACTCCATCCCTCAGGTCTCACACACTGCCTACAACCACACACAGAACATGCACAACACAACTCAGCACACAAGCCCAGCATGAAGGGGCATGCCCACATAGGTTCATATCACAAAGTGGGCAGTTTATCTATATACACAACCACCCCCCCCCCCCATCTTCCATCCTTCCTTACTACCCAAGCAGCCTCTCTCAGTCTCCCTGGCTCTGGGGTAGGTCCCAGGGGAACACACTGGGGGTCAATGCCATTTCCTCCTGCTGCCCACGACCTCGGAGCCTTACCTCCCCACTTCCTCCTCCCCTTGGGAGAAGAGGGGTTAGAGCAGCGGGGTAAAATCCAGAGGGTTCTTCCTTGTCCTTCCTCCCCCCTCCTCCTTCCTGTCTCCTCCTTCCCTCCTCCTCCCTGTCTCCCGCCTCAGCCTCAGCTTCAGCTCCAGCCTCCGTGCTGCATTGCAGGTTGGGGCTCCTGAGGCAACACTGATTGGAAAGGGGGTGACCCTGGCCTGGGGGGACCCAAGTCCCACTCCCTGAGCCCCTTTAACCCAAGCCGCCCCCTCCGGCCAATGAAGGGGGGTGAGTGGTGGCTTCCTCTTGCCCTGACGTCATGGGATGGGGGCGGGGCTGAATCTGGGGGGTGTACTTGGGGCTGAGGACCCCCAACCCCCCCAACTTTCTGCAGCAGGGGAATATCCAAGGAAGCCGCACCCAGCCCTCCAGGGACCTTCGCAGGGCGTCTCCAGGTGGGGGGCAGGGGGGTCAACCAATGGCATCTCGGTTCTGCATTCGGGCCCTGCCCGCCACCCCCCGTTATTTACCTCTTCCCTCAGCGGCTCCCCATCTGGGATGAGCGTGGGTACCTCCTCCCCGTCGCCGCCGCCGTCTACGCCGCCCTCTGATTCTCCTTGGGGCATCGTGTCCGTGCCGTCACCTCCAGGGGCCCGGTCATGATAAGGGAGATGGGCCCCGGGTGGGGGGCATCCGCTCGGCTCGGCGGCCACGGAGGGAGTGCTGAGCCAGAGCCCAGCCCCGCCCGGCCGCTGACCCCGCCCCCGCTGCACCGGCGGGCGCCGCCGGGAGCGCCTGGCACCGAGGCCCAACCTCCGCCCCTCCCCGCCCGGCCCACCCTCCCCGAGACGCCCAGAGCCCGCCTCTCACCCAAGTCTCGCCAGTAAGTGTGTATGGGCTGGAGGAGGGGAGCGAGGGGCGGGGCAGCACGGAGGAAAACACTTCCTTCCCCACGCCAAGATCCCACCGCCTCCTTCTCCTCTTCTTTCTCCTCCGCCCTGCTGTTGTCCCTTGTCCCTGGCACTTCCCTCCCTGAGGTCTTGGCTGGGATGGGGGTGGCGGGACTGGGAGGTTTTGGTATCAGCTGGTTGGAGGCTCTCAGGAAGCAAATTAAGCCCTGGGAACTCAGTGCAGGACTCCCTGCCCCCTCTACATCTTGTCTGAGAGCCTCCCACTCTTCGGGGCCCCAGAGGGACAGGCAGGGAGAGGCCAGTGGCAAACACTAGGTGCTATGTGGGGAGCAAACAGGCCGGGAAGGGGCAGGCAGACACTGTGGGGCTGTAATGCTAAGGGGCATTAGGGCCTGCCCCCAAGAAGTTCTGAGCTTCAGCTCCTGGACTTTGATGCTACCTGCAGTCATGATTCTCTATCATTTGATCCTGTCAGGGTTCTGGGCTCACAGTTCAGAAAGTCCTAGGGATTCCAGAGGCTAGGCCTGGGCAGTGACTGCTTCACTTGTCTTTATATCCTCAGGAAGGTGCACTGTGCCTGGCACACAGTAGGTGCTTAATAAATGTCTGTTAATTGATCACTGGACTCAGCTCAGACATGTTTTTTTCTTAATCTTTTTTATTTATTCCACTCACATTTATTAAGCACCTACTACTAGCTCTGTGCCAGGTGCTGGGGATACGCCAAGACAGACCCTGCCTTCAAGAAGGTCACAATCTAAAGGGGGAGACAATATATGAACAACTCTGTAGGAACAGCCCTGAGGGTGACTCTGTAGGAAGGAGTGGTTTCTAAGACCAGAATGAGCTGGTCCCTCCAGGTATTCGAAGGTCTCCCGGGTGAACGACAGCTTGACTTCTTTCTGCTTGGCTCCAAAGGTCAGAACTGGGAGCAATTAATAGTAAACGTTGCAAACGGGCTGGTTTCCATTTAATGAAAGGAAAAATTCCCTAAGCAGGCATTCAAAAGCAGGCTAGGCTGCTGAAGGGGAAGGTATGAGTTCCCCAACACTTGAAGTCTGTAAGCAGGGCTGGGAGTGTTGCCGAGAGGTTGCCTGTTTGGAACTAGATGCAATTCTGAGGCTCCTTTCGACTGAGATTCTTCCAGACCGCTCATTTCAGCACTAGGACAGCTCCCAAGCCCTCCCAGGTCTGCAGGACCGGAGGTGACCCCACAGGCTGCGGAGAGAAGTCAAGTCAACATCCATTTTCTCAGAGCTTACTATGAGCTAGGCTCTGTGCTAGAAGCACTGCAGGGTGCCAAAGAAGGTCTGAGGGCAGGCCAGCCGCAGATGCAAGGCCGAACTCAAAGCCTCCCATTTACATGAGTCCAGTGCCTGCTCCAGCTGTGTCAGAGTCCGAGGGCACTAGCTCCACCCAGCTCAGGGGCTCGGCTGTGACATCTCCCCTAGCTCCCACTTCTGGAGAGGGCTCCCTATTCATTGTAAACCTCCAGGTCCTAACAGGGGAGTGTCCTTGCAGAGGAGAAGGGTATGGGTCCTCTCTCTGAGACTCAGTTTATGCATCTGTAAGGAAGAGCGAGCTAGCAATGCCCACACGACCTCTCTCACAAAGCCGCAGTGTGGAAAGACCTTTGTAAACCTTGTGGCCGGAGCTGGGAGGGGAAATGGGAGAAGGGGTGAAGTGAAAGGCAGGGGTGGTAGAGGAAAGGTAGGGAGAAAACACCGGGGTGAAAGGGGGCAGAAGCGGACGGGAAGAAAGGATGGACAGGGGCGGGAGGGGTGGAAAGAAGGGGGAAGGGGAAGAAGTGGGAAAGAGGAGAAAAGTAGAGAGAGGAAGGGGAAGGGAAAGGGGGAGGGGAAGGGGAGGAAGAGGAGGGGTTGGAGAGAAGAGGGAGGAAAATGGGAAGGGAAGGGACAGCGGGAAAAGAGGAGGGAGGGAAGGGGGAAGGAAAGCGGAAAGATAACTGGTGGGGAGGAGGGAGAAGAGATAGGGAGAGGGAAGAGAGGGGAAGGGGAGTTAGAAGGGGAGGAAAAAGGAGAGGTGAAGGTCAAGGAGAGAAGGGGGAGGGCGAAGCAAAGGAAAAAGGGAAGGGTGAAGAGCAAGGAGAGAAGGGGGAGGGTTAGAATCGGAAGGAGAAGAGGCAGAAGAAGGAGAGGACGCCGGGGCAAGAGCAAGGCCAAGGCCGTAGGAGTTCCCAGGTGCCCTGCCCCATCCCACTGCTCAGCCCCAGCCCTTCCCGCCTCCCCCGCCCCCCCCCTCCCGGCGGTGCAGTCGTGGCAGGGAGACCTTCACCCGCTCCCTTGCGCAGGCATCTCAAAGACTCCTCTAAGCGACTCAGCCCGGACAAGGTTATTGGACTGTCTTGTCACGTTGGGACAGCTCTATAACCCAATCAGGCAGCCATACTGGTAGCTCCGCCCCTGTCAGCTTCCGGAAGTCAGGTTTCATGGAATCCAAGGCTGGGTGAGAAGCCAGTAGCCAATGGAGAAAGGGGGCGGTGCGCCCATCACGTGGGACGGTGGCCAATGAGAGGTGGGGAGGGTGACGTTGTGGCCATGGCGGCTGAGGCTGGCCCGCGGGTAGACGTGTAGCGGCAGTTAGCAGCCTGAGTCCGCGGCAGCTACCCCATTAGCATTCCTGCCCACCAGCCCTCCCGGCGGGAGGCGTCTAGCTCATGGCTTATCACTCGGGGTACGGGGCCCAAGGTGAGCGCGGGGCGGCATGGGCAGGGGTCCGGGCCTGGCAGCCCTCAGCCCAGCAGAAGGGACGGGGGCTGCGGGGGTGGGTGACGTCATCACGAGGGTTCCCACCTTTGCCCTCATCCTCTACATCCTGCCAGGCCCCGGCGTCCCTCGAGGATCCCGGGTGTTCCCGACCAGGCCTGTGTTCAGCCAACCTCGGCTTGTGTAGTCACTGGCACGGGGAGCTCACTACGTGACAAGGAAGTAGCCCATTCCCAGGCAGAATAGTTCCGGTGGACCAGAGGCCCTTCCTTGGGTGGCACTTAAAGCTGCCCCTTAGCCTTTCCTTGTGCTGCCAGAGACCAAGCCGGGCAGAGCTCAGCAAGTCACTTCTCCTGATGCCCTTTGATTTTCTGCGTTCTGAGGCCCCTCCCAGCCCTGACATCCCCTGTTCTAAGAGCCCTCCCAGCCCTGATATCCCCTGTTCTAAGAGCCCTCCCAGCCCTGACATTCCCTGTTCTAAGGCCTCTCCCAGCCCTGACATCCCCTGTTCTAACTCCCAGCCCTGACATCCCCTGTTCTAAGAACCCTCCAAGCTCTGACATTCCCTCCCACCCCTAACATCCTCTGTTCTAAGGCCTCTCCCAGCCCTGACATCCCCTGTTCTAAGAGCCCTCCCAGCCCTGACATTCCCTGTTCTAAGGCCTCTCCCAGCCCTGATATCCCCTGTTCTAACTCCCAGCCCTGACATCCCCTGTTCTAAGGGCCCTCCCAGCCTTGACATCCCCTGTTCTAAGAGCCCTCCCAGCCCTGATATCCTCGGTTCTAAGGCCCCTCCCAGCCCTGCCATCCCCAAGGGCCCTCCTAGATCTGTCTCCTCTGTAGACATAACTCTAGTCCCCAAACCCTGCTTTCCCACAGTTGTCCCACAGGTTCCCTCCAGGGCCACTGTAATTAGTCCTGTCTAAATAAACACTCTTCTTCAGGCTAGATATCCCCAGTTCATTCAAAGGAGGCGGGTTCTCTGGTCCTTCTCCTCTCCCTGCTGTTGTCTGGATGCTTTCCAGCCCAGGAACACCCAAGCAATCTGAGCTGAGCCCTGTAGTTCACCCCTCATCTTGCAGAGGGCAGCATGGGACCTGTGTCCAAAGTGGAGCACCTAGGGGCTCAAGGCGAGATTCCCACCCAGGTCCTGTGCCACACACATTGAGGCCCAGGGCTGCTGGAAGGCAGAGCTGTCTAAGCCACAGACCAATCCCAAAGGCCATGTTTGTTGGGTGGGAGAACATGTGGAAAGGCCAAGAGGGAGATCCAGAGAGAAAAACGGAGGAAGTACCTGTGGTTGGTCCAGTCCCTGGCATATACTAAGGGCTCTTCAAGGGGATTCTAGAGTTCAGCTGCAGAGTGGATGGCAAGGCCTGGACATCCAAAGGGAGGCCCTCAGGTCCCGCTGCCAGTACCAGGGGACCTCAGGGCCAGGGCACCTAGTAAGGTTTGGAGGAGCTAAGTAGCAGGCACAGTAGCAGGGCAGAAAGCAAGCCCTTCTGAGCTTCCTGGGTTTGGGGAGAGGGGCCCCCCAGAAACAGTCATCCGTGAGGCCACAGGGCTGTGGGGAGTTGTCTTCTCATGCCCCCTGAGGACTGGGCTTCCACTCCTCCATTTGTCTTTCACACGATTGTCCTGGCTCTCCTTTCCTTTTGCATCCCTTTACATAAGTCTTTCCTCATGCCTCTCTGCCATCCTGCCTCAGGACACAATTCCATTCCATTGGCCACCGGCAAAAGGTGGCTGGGAGTTCTTGGGAGGTGTGGAGTCCTTGGCTTTGCCCCTTCCCTCCTTGGGGCATCTGCCGTCCAGGCCAGAGGGGGTGTCCGTGGTAGGATGGCCACTTGGACACGAGGTGGATGGGATTCCCGGCCAGCCAGGAGTTGACCTTGCTGGTGTCTGTGCTTCCTTCCAGCTCAGAGATCTGTTGGGTTACTGCTTCAGGGCCTCTCATTCTGCCATCTGCCCCTTCTCTGCTCTCCCTCTTCAGGGTCCAAGCATCGGGTCAGGGCAGCCCCAGAGCCACCACCGCTCTTTGATGACACTAGTGGCGGATACCCGGCTCAGCCTGGCGCTTACCCACCACAGGGCTCAGATGTGGCCTTCAACGTCAACCACCTGCTCGCGGATCCTATGGCTAACGTTGCCGTGGCCTACGGCAGCTCCATCGCCTCCCAGGGCAAGGATATGGTGCACAAAGAGGTGAGTGACCTCGGAGGCCGGGAGCCTGGGGCTGTGCAGGGGATGTTGGGAGTGGTCCAGATGAAGAAACTGAGGCCCACGCACATCGGGTCACTTCACCCTGATGTCCTAGGGCTCCTTGGGGACTGACTCACCTGCTCACAGGCCTGGGATAGGGCTGAGGCAGAGCAACCAGCAAGGAGCCTGTGCAGACGTGGCCTGATGAGAGAGAAAGGACCTGAGTTCAAATCCTGCTTCTATGGTTCCCTGCCCGGGTGACCTTGAGTATCTTCTTTCTTGGAATCTCAGCTCCCTCCTTAATAAAACAAAGGGGTCTGACTTGATGGTCTCCAAGGCCTTCCAGCCCTGGCGTTCCTGGTTCCGTGGGCTAAGACCCTCCTGGCCCCCGATGCCTCGATTGTCACCTCAGCGGCCTCTCTCTTTTCCAGCTTCACAGGTTTGTGTCCATGAACAAGCTTAAACACTTCTTTGCGGTGGACACCTCCTACGTGGCCAGGAAGCTGGGCCTACTTGTCTTCCCTTACACGCACCAGGTGAGGTGGTGTCTGCCTCCCCGGGGCTCCTGGTCTCCTTGGGCTGGGGGAGTGAGGCTTTAGCTCAGCCATTTCCTGGGCCCTGACGTTATCTCTCTGTTCCCTCTGCCCCTGAGAACTGGGAGGTTCAGTACAGCCGGGACGTGCCTCTGCCCCCTCGGCAGGACCTCAACGCCCCTGACCTCTACATCCCCAGTGAGTATCAGGCCGGGGCAGAGGGGCTCAGGGTTTAGGGCTCAGGGCTCAGGGTTTGAGCTCACTGCATTGAGGCTCTACATTTCTGTCTCTCTTTGGCAGCGATGGCCTTTATCACATACATCCTCCTGGCTGGGATGGCACTGGGCATTCAGAAAAGGTTGGCCCCCACCCTTCACTCCTGGGGACCTGGGTGGGAATGCTCTTTGACCCTTTGAATCAGGTTCTCAAGTCGCCTGGCCAGAGGAAGAGGGGCAGGGCAGGGGCTCAGCCCCATCCTTAGCCCCCCACCCTTGTGTTCTCCTTGGGGAATGGAAGGAGCCTGGACTGTAGCCCCGTCTGCTGAGTGCTTTTCTTAGCCTCTTCATCTGTAGAATGGAAGCAAGACTGTTTTGGGTCCCTGCCTAACAGGGTGTTTTTGAGGGCGGGGGGAGAAGGTGGAGTGATCAGGAAAAAAGGGTTATTGATCTTCTGCTCACTGCCCCCTGCCCCGTCCCAGAGGAAAACAAACTAACCCCTTGTCCATGTCCGAGAAGTATGCCTCATTCCACACCTGTCGTCCACCACCTCTTTGTCAGAGGTCTGAGGTCTCTGAGCCTGGTCGCTCATGGCTGTTGTGATCCTGATTCCCCTGGGGGGCCTGGGTAGAAGCAGGACCTCCCTCTGCTGACCCTGCCTCCCCCACCCCGCTTCCCGCTCTGCTCCAGGTTTTCCCCCGAGGTGCTCGGCCTGTGTGCCAGCACAGCCCTGGTGTGGGTCGTCATCGAGGTGCTGGCCCTGCTCCTTGGCCTCTATCTGGCCACAGTCCGCAGTGACCTAGGCACCTTCCATCTACTTGCCTACAGTGGCTATAAATACGTGGGGTGAGTTTCAGGCCTGGGAGTGGGGGAGAGACTGGGCAATGGAGCAGGGCTGGGCTGGGCAGGGCAGGGCTGAGCTAGGCTTAGGGGCCTTTCCCCCAGATGCAGAGACAGCTGTTGAAGTTTCTGCACCAGAAGCCACCAGGCAGAGAGGATAGGGAGAGATGAAGGTATGGTGTTGAGGAACAGGGCTGGACTTGGGGAGGGAGGGAGGAAAGGAGTGGAATTGGGCTGGAGATGGGGAGTTTTGTCAAGATCAGAACCCTGGAAATAGCGATTCAAGAGGCCTGGAGTCAAATCCTGGCTCTGACACTTCATGAGCTGTGTGACCCTGGGCAAGTCACATCCTCTTGTTGGGATGGGAGGGACCTTAGAACAGAGAGTGTCAGAGCTGGGAGGGACTTTAGAACAGGGAATGTCAGGGCTGGGAGGGCCCTTAGAACAGGGGATGTCAGGGCTGGGAGGGCCCTTAGAACAAGGGATGTCAGAGCTGGGAGGGTCCTTAGAACAGGGAATGTCAGAATTGGGGGAATCAAAGAGTATCTGTTCGACTCCCTCATTTTACTGATGGGGAAACCAAGGTCCAGGGAGGGAGAGCTGCCTGCCTGTGTAGCATTCCCCCAACAAGTCAGCTTGTAGATTTAGTCCCTTGGTCCACCATCACGCCTGGGCCACCCAAGGGTCCTGACTATCCTTTGCTCCCCAGCATGATCCTGAGCGTGCTCACGGGATTGCTCTTCGGCAGTGACGGCTACTACGTGGCCCTGGCCTGGACCTCAGCTGCCCTCATGTATTTCATTGTGAGTCTGAGACGTGGGGCAGTGGGCCTGCCTAACCTTCATGCCCCCTCCCCCTCCCCCCTGCCTCCTCACAGGGAGCAGACTAATGAGGAGGAGGGGACAGTGACCAGGAGTGTCCTTGGGATGGGATGTGCCCCCCCCCCTCAGCCCGGGTCTGGTCCCTGCCCTTTGCCCTTTCTCTAGCCCCCCCTGAAGGTCTGTCTCCCACAGGTGCGCTCACTGCGGATGACCTCCGTGGGCACTGATGGGGTGGGGGGGCCTGCACCCCGGCAGCGCTTCCAGCTCTACCTGACCCTGGCTGAGGCTGCCTTCCAGCCAATGATTATCTACTGGCTGACCTTTCACTTGGTTCGGTGATCCAAATGGGGTCTCCCCTCCTCTCCAAGGAAGACTGCGATGAAGATGACCATGATGATTTTTGTCCTGTATATTGAAGATTTTAATTGCTTCAGCCACATCTGTCCCTCATTCCTGGGAGTAAGGCCCTGGACAGGACCTTAAGAGGGTCTGAGGAGGTGGGAAGGAATGGCCAGCCAGGGATAGGCAAAGGAGCTCTTAGGGCCTGCAGTCCTGGGCCGGGGGGGGGTGGCGAGTGGGCAGTGAGGCCTGGACCCCATCAGATGTCTCTTGTCCCCAGAGCCTCAGCACCGAGTGCTGGAGTGGGTGCTCCAGGGGCGACTCCATTTTACAGAGGAGACTTGGCCAGGCTCCACTCGAGTTAGCTGAGAGGAGCTACCATTTCTCCAGGCCTCCGTTAAAGCTTGCTCTGCGTTTGACATGTATGGTCTTACTGGGTGCTCACAGAGAAGAGGGAGGGAGGCTGAGGGCTCACCAGCCACACTGGCCCACCGGCTGATATGCAGCGTATGGTTCCTGCCCCAGCCCAGGGCTGTCCCAGAGATGGTGCCTCTGATTAATCGAATTCCCATGTCTCACCTTTGAGCTCCAGGGGCCAGAGGCTTCCCTGGAAAAGGTGACCATGTGGGCCCCTCTGAGGGATGAGGCGAGCTTTCTGCTCCTAGTCCCAGGTAGGGAGAGGAGGCCCCAAAGGTAAGAGGGGCTGGCCCATGGGTTTCGAGCCCCATCCCACCCCCCAAAAAAAGCATCAGAGGGTTTAAAGCTGGAACATCTGGTCCAGTGCCCTCATTTTATTGATGAGAAAACTGAGGCACATAGAAAGGTAGGGACTTAGCCAAGGTCACATAGGTAGGGAGTAGGAGAGCTACGATTTGCACCCAGGTCCCTGACTCAAAATCTGGTGATCTCTCAACTTCATTGGGAGCCCTGTAGCATGTCAGGATTGGGAGGGTCTTCTGAGGAGCTGGTCTGACCTGGTCCTCTGACAAAATGTTGTCCTGCCTGTTGGAAGAGCTCTTGTTGGTGGGGAGCTCATCTCCTCCATAGGAAAGGTCTGTCTTCTTTTCTGGCATTCACTTATTCCTTTGGAATCTCCCCAGCTTTTCAGCTCTTTCAGGGAGGGTCCGTGACTCCCCGGGGCCTTGGACCCAGATTTGATGCTCAGCTAAATGTTTGTTGTCCGGAAGGGGGGCCGGTAATGGTCCTGGAGTCATGAAGAACCTGGGTTTGATTTCTGGCTCTGCCCCTCAGCTGTATGACCTTGGGACAGTCATTGCTTTTCTCCAGGCCTCAGTTTCCTCATTTATCAAGTGAGGATACTGAAGCAGTCCACCCCCAGAAGACTCAATTCTATACCATGAACATTGGCACCTGAGGGGAGGGAGGTGGTCACCGGCCCCAGTGTCTGTCTCTGCTCAGAGCCCCAACTGGGGAGGCTGGAGACTTGGCAGTCTCATTCCCTGCCTTTCTACTGTCATACTACACAGTGAGCTTGGGTAAGGGCCTTTCCCCCATCTCTACATGAAGTGGTTGGACACTAGGAGTTCTCTGATCGTCCATCGGAGGATGGCGACCAGAACTGGGAGGGGACTCGAGACTGTCTTTTGAGTCGGGCATCTTAAGCCCGGAGTAGGGGGTGCTGGCAAGCTTCACCATGAAGGGCCGGGCAAGGGACTCCCGCCACACACACTCCTCCACCCGGATCTTTGCAACTGTTTATTCAATCACAAATGGCCAGGACTGGCCTAGAGAGACTTGGGTTTTACACACAAACTCCTCCAGGCGCTGCAGAGGGCCAGGCCCCCAACGCCTTAGAAAACCGGGGCACGGGGAGAGACAAGGACAGGGGTGGGGGGGGTGGCAAGGGGGGGGGACACAGAAGAAAGAGCCGAGAAAAGGCAGAAGGAGGGGAAGGCCAGAGGGAGAGCAGGGAGCGGGAGGTGGGGCTGAGGAGGAGCTCCCGGCTGAGCCTGCTCACGCCCCTCCCCTCCCCGAGGCCCTGCCTCCCGGGCCACGCCCTGGGGTCGCTGGGAAAGAGCGGAGGGATGATTAGTCGCTCCTTCTGGAAGTGGGGTGGGCCCAGTTCCCCTCTCCCGAGCTCAGTCCCTCTCCAGCACCCCTGTCCCCTGTCCCTCAGTTATCTCCAAAGCGGATGAGGACCCCAAACCCCTCCCCAAGTACTAGGTTTTCCAAGTAGGGGCTTGGGGCTCGAAGGGCCCCCGTCCGCCTGGGCTCCCGGCTGCCTTTGGGAGGCGCCGCTCTGACAGAGGCTGGCGCAGCGCAGGAGGGCGAAATGGGGATGGGGGGAGGGGCGGGCCATCCCATAGCAGCAATTTCGGGGGGCAGGGGCTGAGGAGGCCCCGGCGCCCCTCGCCTTCCCCCAGAGCCGAGGCTTCTGGGGGACGGGGGGGGGAGCGGGGAGTGGCTCTTCTCCGCTGTCCGAAAGGGGCGCGGGGATGGGGGTACACAGGCGTCCGGTCCGTTCTTGGGGTTCATTCCCTGGCCGGCTTCCCCCTTTAGAAACTCACCAACGTATAAACCATACTGTGGGAGAGAGGAACGGGCTGGGGTTGCGCGCAACCAGTGAGAGCCCTTCCCCTCATCCCCCAAAGGAGGGTCCCTCTCCCCTCCTAAGGTGGGACGGAGCTCACCTGTACAGGTAATAGAAGAAGGAGAGCAGGTAGAAGGCGAGTTTGCACCAGGACTCCTTCTGACAGTAGTTGAGGATGTCTGCGTTCATGATGGAGACGGCGTCGTACATGACCTCGGAGCCGTCTGCCGGGCGGTGGAAATACCTGGGGGAAGGGGAGGGGGCGAAAGGAGCCGGGAGTAGGACCGGGAGAGCCGCCACGACTTCGCGAAGTGTCACGTCAGAGGGCAACCCTCGCAGGAACAGATAAGTCATCTCCGAGGCTTTAGAGACTTTGCATTTCCCTTTTGGGATGGTTGGGACTAATAGTAGACTGAAATCTGCCTTCCCGGAAGACCGACATGGGGGCCCCTCCTCCTCTCCCAGGCCTGAGGACCCCTCCCGGCAGTATGGCCCGACCCAGTAACCTCACAAGCACAGCCCTGGCACACCACTCCCCACCCAATCCCGCAGCCTGGTCACCTCCATAGGTGGTAGAAGAGGAGGGGGATGTTGAGGCCCAAGGTCACCCACTCCGCGGCGCACAAGAACATCAGGCAGAACAGGCCGTGGATAGAATACTCGGGAACCACGAGCTGGAGGAGGGCCAGGGGGGCACCGACCGGTCAGGGTCTGCCCTCTAGTCCCGAGTAGGGGGTGAGGCCCACCCTCCCCTGACAGGCCCCAGAGGAGAAGGCACCGTACTGAGGTCAAGCATCTGGGCTCCGTTAACCCACCTGTTCTGTGGTCCTGGGACTGGGAGAGGGAGTAGGGGTCCTGGGGTGGGGCGTCCCTGAGCCTGCTGGGAAGAGAAGGGCTGCATAGGGATGCCTAATTTGCATCTTATTATGTGGCAACTCGACCCGCCACGCCCACCTTCCTGGGGCAAATGGAGCTGAGGGAGGAGTGAGGCACCAAAGACTGGGGATCCGCCTAGAATCACAGAAATCGGGGCCAAATCTGGGGCCAAACCCGACCGGTCCGACCATTTCAGGGCACAGAGACTGATCAGAGGTCACACACAGACACAAAATGGAAGTGGATTAGCGGGGCCTGGATTCCCGTCCAGGGCGCTAGGCTGATGGCCAGACAGACAGACAAAGGGGGGTCCTGTGACCCCCAAGACCTCCCACTGACCTTCCTTAAGAGGCAGCAGATCCGCTCAATGTTTTTCAAACGCTCACGCTGTGGGGAGGAGAGGAGGGTCAGGCCGAGTGAGCCCGGTGAGGGAGGATGCAGGACAGAGTCCAGTGGTGTGTCGGTGTGGGTGTGGATGTGGATGTGTGTGGGGGGGGGGGCGCACCAGGTCCAGCTTCCCTGAGGGGCGAAGACCTCCCCAATCGTGCCAGGCCAGCCCAGCTCCCCGCAGCCACAGGGACTTAAGCCTTGTTTCCATGGCGATGTCACCACAGAGGCAGGCGCCGCCATTCCCATGGCAACTGTCGCCATGGAGGGCAGGCACTTCACCCGGATCTCCCCGGCAACGGCCGGGACTTCATCAGCCAAAGAGCGCGATGGCCAAGACACCCAGTGGGCTGGCTTCGACGCCCCGGTCTGACACGGCACCAAAGGCAGCAGGCATGGGGAAGTGGGCAGTCTCCTCTCCCACCCCTTCGCCCCGTGCCCAGGCCATCCTGCCCTCCCAAGGTCCCTCCCCCTACGAGGCTCACTGTCTTGCCCCGAGGCCGGTATCTTTCTACGCAGATCTACCCTCTGCCCAGCCCCAACACAGACCCGGACAGACTGACGGACACACCTCGGCACATCACATGTATTGACTTACTGCCCTGGCAGGGTTGCCCTGATCTATGGGGTTCTTGAAGTCGGTCCTCAGTTCGTCAAAGGCGATGATCTGGGTGGGGGGGGGGTGCCTGTCAGGCTGGGAGTGCCTGGGGAGAGTATCCCACCCTGGACCCCTGGACAGGGGGCCCTCAGATTGTTTCCCAACCCTCCTTTATTCATCACCTTCTTCCTAGGCTCCATCTAATACTCGTGTGGGGAGTGTTTTTTCTCCCCACAATCCAAGAAGAAACCATTTTATAAGTGAGGAGACTGAAGCTGGGCCAGAGGAATTGACTGGTCCAGGATCATATAGCTACCAGGTGGCCCAGAAGGGCCTGAGACCCAGGACTGTCCTGACTTGCTAAAGGGCAGTAGAGGCTGGGCATCCCACTGTGGGATCTGTGACTTCTGCCCCCATACCTCCCCACCAGCACCCTCATCCATCTGTGCCCTCCTCTAGCACCATCTGAGCTGGTCAACCTAGGGGCAACTGGGGACAGGAATGCTAGGCGTGTATGCACTGGAATGTGGGAAGAGGAGACCCCTCTGTGTGTTCCTTCGGCAGCCTGGAGTAGGGGGAGGGTGGGTAGTTCTAAGCTAGAGAACATCTCGCCTTTCCTGTTCCCCAGGGTGCCATCTGGAGCTCAGGGTGCCACTGGGTCCAGGCAGGGGGGAATAGCAGAGATAACCTGTGTCCTATCCCAAGGCCAGGCCCAGGGTGCCCCTCCCTCGCTCCATCACTCCCACAAGAATAAACAAATCCCCCGCACCACCACCACCAACTGACACCTGTCACTCACCCAATGAACCTGTCAAGAGACCAGGATGCCCTGGGGTTGCTTAGCAACTTCAAACACCACCTCCTCACCCTCCCTGCACACATGGTGTGGGGCTGGGAGGGGGACCGGGCTCCAGATGGAGGGAGAGGCAGGAGAGAAGGAGCCCGAGGCCTGGGCTCCAGCAGGCCCAGCTCTGCTACTGTTCGCCATATGACCTTGGGCAACTGGCTTTGCACCCTTGGCCTCACTTTCTTCATTTGTAACATTAGGGAGGGGATTCCACGAGGGGAGCTTCCTCCCCTGGCAGCGCCTCCCTGGGATTCAATTCAGCTTCCTCCCTGCTCCCCCCAGTCCCCTCCCTGCAGCTTCTGCCTCCCTGGATGCCAGCCTTCCTCTGCTCCAGCACAAGTGCCCTTCCCTTGGGAGAGGGCAGGTGACTTGTTTCTCCTCTCACCCTACACACTCCATCTGGTCATCCTTTCTTGGTGAGAAGCAAGTCTATGCCCCAGGCTGGCAGGGAGCTCAGTTCTAGAAGATAGGTCCCCTGGAGTTTGGGGGGCCCTCAGTGAGACCTGGAAGGAGTGGGGGGGCAGAAACTCTGGCAGCCTCAGTGGCCAGGAAGTGCGGGAAGGCTTCTGGAAGCCCCTTCTTTTACCACAACTGCCCTAATCCACAGCCTCTCCTTCTTCCCAGTCCTCAAACTCCCACTTTCAGCCCCATTCTCGCTGCTCCTTCAGCTACAGTCTTTTCTTACCTCCACCCCCCTTCCTGGACACAGGCTCTGCTCTCTAAAGACTTTGTACCTCCGGAAACCTGTCTGCCTTAGCTCCCTTGGGCCTTCTTTCATCCCCCTAAGGGCCTGTCTCCTCTTGCTCCTTCCCCAAGGTTTACTGCCCACTGCGATGGCAGCTAGAGTGTTTTTGGGCCTGAAGTCAAGAAGTCCTGAGTTCAAATCCAGTCTGAGTTCGATCCTTGGCAAATTACTAAAAACCTCTATTTGCCTCAGTTCCCTCAACTGTAAAAATGGGGATATTAACACCAATTTCACAGGATTGTTGTGAGGATCAAATGAGATGTGTAAAAGCACATACTTTTGTATGTGTGCCTGGCACACAGTATGTGCTATACAAATGTTTATTCCCTGTCTCACCTGACCTCATGTAAGGGAGTGGGGAAGGTAGGAGACTGAGGCAGGGGGTCTATACATGCAGATGGGAGAAGAGATAAGGGAAAGAGGCAGAAAAGAGACAAAGAAAACAGGCACCAAGAAAGCTATAATACCCAATGCAGGGTTTGGACACATAATTGGGGCTCATTAAATACCTGTTGAATGAACAAAGAGCCAAAGATAAGAGGGATGACACAGGCAAAAAATGGGGAGAAAGGGATGGTGATATGAGCGAAGAGTCACAGGGCCTGGAGTGTGTGTGTGTGTGTGTGTGTGTGTGTGTGTGTGTGTACTCTCGAGTATGTGAGCAAGGAGCCCTAGAAACAGGGATGAGACACAAGGAACCAGCTGGGACATATGAGGAGAAGACAAGACATTTGGGGCAAAAGGATGCACAGGAATGGAGGAAGTGACAGGAAGAGGTTCAGAGAGGATGGAGGTGGGTGAAAGGGGGAACAATGGGAAACGGGAGAGAGATTCAGTTCACACAGATGGTGAGAGAGGCACAAGTGTCAGAAAGAGACAGTTAAGGTGGAGAATGAGGGGCGCAGAGACAAGTTGTGGGGGGGAGGAAAAAAGGGGAGAAGCAGACTGGAAGGAGCAAGAGAATAAGGAAAAGAGAAAGGAGACATTGAACAAAGAGGAGGGAGATGAGGAGGGGGAACAGAGACAGAGATATGGGGGAAGAGGGGGTAGAGAGAAATGAGCCTGACAGGCAGAATAGGAAATGAGGAGGGGGAAACAGATGGAGAGGATGACAAAGATGAAGACACAGACATATGGGAGAGAGATGAGTGAGACAGGAAGTACAGAGGGAAAGGAAGATGAGAGAAATAGCAAGAGATAGCAAGTGGGGCTGGAGAAAGGCGAGAGATGAGGACAGAGATGTGGGAAGGAGAGATTGAAAGTAAATGAAAGAACGCAGATGTGCAGACTGAAAATGATGGCAGAGGAACAGGAGAGGGGCGTGGATTTGGGGACATGGGGAAAATGTGCATTCCCTGAGGGTAGGAGCCATGTTCTAGCGAGTGCCCGGTGCAGGTGCCCAGGAAACATTTGTTCAGTGAATGAATGGAATGAATGACTGAGTGAATGGGAGGAGGGTGCTAGAAAATTGGAGAATGGGAAAGAAATGGAGAGAATAAAAAACAGCCATAGAAAGGAGGTTAGGAGTGGAGAGAAGAGACACTGGGGGTGGGGAGCAGAAAGGGAAGTGGAGGAGGCTTGTGGGGATGGAAGGAGGGGACAGGGATGCTGGCAGCATAGCAAAGACTTGTCAGAGAGTAGAAGGCAAAAAGGGAACCCTGAGCAAGGGAGCCCCTCCACTCTTCCCCACAACCCCAGAACTACCTGGCCCTTGAGCTAATAGCGACCGAGGACAGTAAGCAGCAGAGTCCAACACCGCTAAGAATCAGGCCAGAGGAAGGATGGAGTCTTGGAAAGGAGGGGAAAGGGGGGGGAGGGGGGATATGGGGACGCAACAGGACGAAAGGGGTTGGTGAAGATGGGGAGGTCTGTCCCATCAAGACCCTTCCTTCACGGACACGTGGGGTGGGGGAATGAAGAGGAAGGGGTTAATAGGTTCCGGTAGATGTGGGACTTGTAAACAGATGCAGTTGCTATGGCAACTGGCTCCATCACTCGGCTGGAAAAACCCACAATGGAGAGGAAGGGAGGAGGGGGGACAGACAGACCTGGATACAGACAGAGAGAGGATTGAAGAGGCTCTGCCAGGAAGAGGGGAGAGGAAGAGGAGAGCTATACTGGAAGAAATTAAGCCCCCAAGTGCAGAGCAACCCGAATCACTCCCTCCCCCCGCCCCCCCCCCCGCTTCCCATCCAGCTGCATGGTGGACCAGAATGGGGTATCGGTGACAGAAAAAAGGGAGGATGGAAAAATAGGAAAATGGGAAGGGGGAACAGGTATTTGGGGAAGAAGGAAGGGAAGAGGCAAGGGTGGGGGAGGGAATAACAGTAGGCAAGTTTCCCCTCGTCGCCCTGAGAAGTTCCCCCTGTAGCGTGCAGTGCCCCCGCCCCCGCGGGAGCCCGGGGCCGCAGACCCCTCTGCCCCGGTCTGGTTCCGTCCCCCGGCCCCCGGCCTTACGTGCCAGATGACAAAGAAGATGAGGGATGCGCACAGCACCAGCGTCAGCATGTAGCAGAACGCGGCGAAGGTGAACGCCATGGCCCCGGGGCCCAGCGCCAGGCCGGGGGGCGCCAGCCTACGCCGTCGGGTGGCCCCGTCGCCGGGGGACCCCGGCCCGGCCCGGCTCCCGCTCCGGCCGCCACCCCGCCCCACAGGGCTCAGCGCTGGCCTGGCATGGCCGAGGGGGTCGCCCAGGCGAGCCCCGAAGAGAGACGCGCCCACCCAGCCGGCCGGCCCGGCCGCTGGGGGCTCGGGGAGCGCGGGGTGGGCAGGCGGCTCGGGGGGCGCGTCCGCTGGCGCTGGCGGCTGCTCCTGCCCCTCTCGCTCATCCTGCGCTCGCCCCGCGGCTCCCTCTCCAGCCCGGGAAGCTGGGGGGGCGGAGCCGGGGCGGGGCTCCCCCACAAAGGGGCAGGCCTGGCCTCCAGGCGGGCGGGGCCACAGCCCAAAGCTAGCAGGCTGCTGGGGACGCGACAGCCCACTGGCGTCCGCCGAGCGAGGGACTGGAAGAGACGGGTCGCGGGAGGGTCCTATGGGGCGGGGGGCAGAGCCCACATTAGTTCGGGGTGATCGTACCCAGCACAGCCGGCCCAGCGCCCGCCCCCGCAAGCAAGCAAGCGAGCACACGCACACACATACACGCGCGCGCGCGCATTCACACCCATACTCACAAATGACAGCTCCCCTCCCCCCCAACATCGTGCTGCCAAAATCGAGCACAAAGGACACCCCGAACTCTTGCAGTTCTCCGATTCCCCGCCTCCCCCCCTTATATACACCCTGGGCCGACAAAGCAATCACACGCACCCACGCAGATTGCCACCGAGGGCGGGGGACAGCGCTCGTGGGTCCATAGTGGGAGGCAGGCACAATGCTTTGGAGTTGGGCTGAATGGCCACGGCTTACGAAGTCCCCACGCAGCTGGCTCCAAGGGTGTGTGCACATCTTTGCCACCTGATGGGCATGGAAAAGGGCGGGGGCGGGGACAGGTAGGAAAAGGAACCCGACGAGGCATTCCTGGGACCTCCCCATCTGTTTTCCGGCATTACCAGCCCCAGCTCCCTTCCTCTCCGTCCCATTCCCGACCCTTTTGTCGGGAGCCGGAGCTCTTCGGGACACCCCTCATATGCAGCAAGCGGGTCAAGAACCTTAATGGCAACAGCCCATCCCTCACCATGCCAGGGTGCTAGGGGCCTTAAAAGCTCACCTCTCCTGGCTCAGGAGACACCTTCCCTCAGCCCACAGCCCCCCCATATGCACCTTTTCCCGGCTCTGGGGATCCCCCCCCCTGGACGCAGCCCACAAACCACACTGGCTGGCTGCCAACCACCTTGCAAAACCCCTTTGGGGGGGGGTTCTCCCGAGGCCACTGAAGATTTATTGAGGATTTATTTTTGTCCTTGTTTCTTTTCCCCAAGGGGCTTTTCCTTGCAAAATGCTGGACGAAATGTGAGTAGGAAGGATGGGGGTGGGGGGGGTGGGGGGTTTGGCATCCTCAGAGGGCTGCCTTGTGAGGTCCCCATGCTGCAGCTTCAAATACAAGCAGAAACACATTTGTGTACATGTTCTTGTATGTCACACTGACCAGGGGTCCATGGGACAAGAAAGGAAAAGGCAGGGCGAACGGACTCCTTAACTGGAGTTCCAGGGACTCTGAGACTGTGTCCCTGGTCAACGCTGACTGGGACTGAAGCACTCAGGCTGTTTGGGAAAAGGGGGCCATGACAAAGGAAGAAATATTGGTGGGGGGAGCACACAATTCATGGAACCAAGGCAAGAAATACCATTTACTCTATCCTGGGGTGGAAGGAAAAAAACCAGGAGCTAGAGTAAGCCAGCCGTGTGGCGGGGTAAGGAGGACAATCCTTGAGCCGTCAAGGGGCAGGCCCCCAAGCCAAGCTGGGCCGCCTGCCGCCTCCAGCAGGGCAGAGCTCTGCTCCCAGCCTGAGCCAGCACAGGCCTTCCACCTCCACAGCCTCCCGGGGCCAAGAAGGGGAGAGGTGGGAGGTACGCCAAGGGCAAAGTGAATCGACAACAGCTCCCCTCCAAGCACAAATGCAAATCCAAAATTGCAGCCGCCCACCCACTTGGGCTTTGTGCAAAGCCGCGCCGCTCCGCCGCTCCCCCCCTCCCCCAAGCCATTACGGACGGATTGAGCTAAAAGCTCAAGGCCAGGAGGGGTTAGCGGCAGCGGAAAGGGAAGCTAAGGTGAAGCTGAAAGAGGGTGAAGATGGCGAAAGAGCAGGGGCGGCTGAGCTCTCCAGGGCCGCTCCCTCCTGAGGTCTAGCTCATCGTCCCCAGGACCCATATCCCCCCACAGTCTGGGCCTTGGGTCTGGTGGAAGAGGCTCCCTGCTCCTGGGGTGCAGGGACTCCCCAGGACTCACTGCAGCTCTGAGGGAACGCGGGGAGCGAGCTGGGAACAAGGGAGACTCCGGCTCCCCAAGAAAGCTGGGGAGAGGACAGGGGCTGGGGAGGCGGGAAGGGGGCTCTCCAAGGCCTTGGGAGGCCTTAGGCCACCGGGCAGAAGCCCTGCTCGAGTTCCCCAGCCCCCACCTGCAGCACAGATCTAATCAAGAGCTTTGGAAGGGAGGCTGGGGGGTGGGAGTGGGCGACAGGACTCACTGCCCACAAGCCACAGAATCAAATGCCCCTTGGTGCCGGGGGAGGGGGAAGGCAGGCTTGGGGCTCCGCCTCCTTCCTCAGGGGCATCATCTGAAAAGAGGTGCCCTCCGGCTCTGCCCCCTAGCAGCAGCCTCCACTGGCTGGCTTCACCGGGGTGCTGTCGATCTTGAGGCTGGGCCGCTCGCCCCCTGAGGCAGCCCCAGGACCCATTCGCTTCTTGATCTCCGCTGCCATGGTCATGAAGGCCTGCTCCACATTGGTGGCATTCTTGGCGCTGGTCTCCAGGAAGGGGATGCCCAGAGAGTCAGCAAACTCCTAAGGGGAAGCCAGGGGAGTGTGGGCAGGTCAGAGGCTCTGGAGGGAGCCCTCTGAGCAGCCCCCCCCACCCTCCCCCCCCCGCACCGAGCCCTCACCTTGGCAGTGGGGTTGTCCACTACCTTCTTGGTGGTGAGGTCGCTTTTATTGCCCACCAACAACTTGTTGACATTCTCACTGGCATATCTGTTAATCTCCTCCAGCCACTGTTTGACGTTGGCATAGGATTCCTAGAGGAGATGGGGGTGAGGGGCTCACCTTCAGGCTGAGGAGAGTGAAAAGGCTCCCTCCCTCCAGCCCCCAACCCTGAGCAGAAAGGGGTGGGGGGCAGACAGAGCCAACGTTCCCTGCCCAGAGGGACGCTTAGTAGGACTCTTCCAGCCCCCCATGCGGGGAGAGAGAGGCTGAGAATCCGAGGTAGAAGGACAGAGGTCACTTATTCCCAGAAGCCTCTGACAGCAATACCTGGGACACAGCCCCCCCTTCATAGCATCTTGGTGGGTCTTTAGCGTCTAGATAGAAAAGGGGCCTAGCAGCCGGGAGATTTTCATCCATCACTGCCTAACCAATGGAGAGAGTTTGAAGTGAGAAGCCAAGATTCAGACCATGTGACCCTGAGCTGGGTACAAGATTCTCTATCTGCAGAATGGGAGAATGTAGGCAGAGGACTTGGAGCCAGAAGGTGCCGAGGGCATCACCTGACACAAGGAAAATGATGTGCCCAGAGAATAACTCCGGCCCCTCCTGCCACAGGAGAAGGGGGGGGGGGGCCCTGTGTGTCTGTCTGTCTGTCACAGCTCCAGGAAAATGGCTCTCAGTGCAAAGAGGGATGGGGCCCGGCTGCTGGCCCCTGTGAGCTTCTGGGCAATCCGGCCCAGAAAGTCCAGTGCTGTGGGGGGCAACTGTGGGAGAAGGCCCAGGGCCCCCTCTGCCCCACTCCCCACTTGCACCTCAACTGCCTCCTCCTCCTCGGCTGGCTACTGGCACACTGCAGGGCCCAGCCTGAGGCTGCCAGGCAGGCTGGGGCCCGGGGGTCCTGGCAAGGCCGAGCTACCTGGTCAGTGACATCATACACCACGATGATGCCGTGGGCCCCTCGGTAATAGCTGGACGTGATGGTCCGGAAGCGCTCCTGACCGGCTGTATCCCACTACGGCAGAGACGGAAGACAGGGATACAGAGGAGCGCTGTGAGGGGGCCCAGGCCAGGCCCCTCCTGACCCCCTCGACCTCCCCCCCCCCACCAGAGAGCAGGCACTCACAATCTGGAGCTTGATGGTTTTGCCGTCCAGCTCGATGGTTCGGATCTTGAAGTCGACCCCAATGGTGCTGATGTAGCTCTCAGTGTACGTGTCATCCTGGGAACGTCAGAGAGTGCAGCCTCTGAGAAGCCAGAAGTCCTGCTCTGGCCGAGGCCCCGGCGCCCAACCACGGGGGCTCCCGGGCGTCTCCCCCGAGAGCCCCAAATAAGCCCTCCCGCTCCTTCTCATCCTCATGGGGCCGCAGTCAGAGGGCAGCCAGAGTACTGCAGCTGCCTTCCTGCAGACCAGACCCAGAACTCGAGACAGCAAACCAAGGCCCGGAGATGGGCAGGAGACTCACAGCGAATCGGAGGAGCAGGCAGGACTTCCCGACGCCTGAGTCGCCGATCAAGAGCAGCTTAAACAGGTAATCACTGGTGGGAGAGGAAGGGGAGGACATGAGAGCCCAGGAGAGGCCCCACTCCCACCAAGCTCTTCCTTGGGCCCAGAGCCTGCTCTAGTTTCCAGAGAAAACGGATGCATGTGGAAACATGGAAAACTGTGCAAGACACTTCCCAATAAAGGTAGAAAGAGAATTCAAGAACTGCTAAGAAAGAGGGACAGGGACTGGGAGAAGAGGCTGCTGGGAATTCGGGCAATGCACAGGCCTCATGCCATCGGTCAATCCCAACCAGCCTGTGAGGTATCACCACATGGATTTTCACCCCCTTCTTACAGATGAGGAAACTGAGGCTCAGAGCAGGGATTGTATGTAAATGTCAGGGTCAGGATTTGAACCCAGGTCTCCTTGACTCCAGGTGACACGCTCTACTCACTATACCACAAAACCTGCCTTATTTGCCCAATTTAACAGAACAGACTGTGCACTAACAGCCAAAGAGTGGACACCTCCCAAGCATCCAGCCGGGCGCAAAGGGCAGGAGCTAGCCAGGAGGAGGTGAGCGACCATCACAGGGCAATGAGACTAGGAGGAGCTAATAGCCGTGAGGCCATTCCAATTTACAGAGAGGAAAACCGAGGCTCAGGAGAAGGGCGTGAGGAGAGGAAAGCATCTGCTAAAGCGTCAGTGAAGGGCGTAGCATTTCAGAAGCCAGGCCTCACTGGCCTGAGGCCACCTCCAAAGGGCAGGCGAACAAAGATGACAAGAAAGCGAGGTGGCCAAATGCTGCAAGGCCCGGTCTGGCTGCTGCGTTAGGGCCGCAGACCATCGACCAGATGCCCAGGGGTGGATGGAGGGAGCCGTGGGGGGCAGGAGAGAGTGATTCTTCAAAAACACTGATGACTCAGAAGGACAAGAAGAGCTGGGTCTATTCCAGAGGAGGAGACTCCCTCGGGGGCAGGGTCTGCAGGCAAGCTCTGAGCCAGGGCTCAGCGCTCTTGTGTCATGGAGCCTTTGGCAGTCCGGCGAAGCCGCCAGACCCTTTCTCAGAACAGCAGTTGTGAATAATGAAGGGAAATGCTCAATATTACTTAAAAGGTTAGTGAAAATAAAGATGCCATCCTCTATGTGCCCAAGGTCACAGAGCCATGGAAATCTTGGTCAAGCTGGGGAAAAAGCCGGCCTAGGCATTCCAGGGAAAGAGGAGAATCCCTCCTGGGCCATGTTCACCCAGGCTGGATTCGGTGTGTGAGCTCCACAGCAGGCTCCCCGAGATTCCTGGCCCTGGGAGCCTCAGAAGAGGTAAAGGCCCAAGGCCCCGAAGAGTGTGAGTAAAAGCAGAGGGAGGGGGAGGCACCCCTCCAGCCAAGCTGGGCAGCAGGGCCTCTGGGGCCGATCACCCACAGTCCTTCACTTTCCCTGTCTAAACATTCATCCTCTCTCCCTTTTCCCTTCCACAGCCAAACTCCCAGGAAGGGTAGGGGACACACTCCTGGTCTCACTTCGGTTCCTACTCAATCTCTCTTAACCCCTCAGGGTCTGGCTAGAGGTATCACCACTGGCCAAACATCTGGTAACTGCTCAAGCCAACAGCTTTGTACCCTCCTACTACTAAGGTCTTTGCAGACTGGGTCAGGGCTGCCCGAGCCTGGTCCTCCTCCTGATTACATGCCTGCCCCTCCTCAGCCTCCTTCCATGGCTCTTCAGTGGGCATGCCCCAGGGCTCTGCCTTGGCCTAAATGTACCTCTCACTCCCGAGGCCTCCTGAAGGCTTCTCCCCTCATACATTCTCAAGCCCCTCCCCACCACAATGCAGCCTCTGGACAACTGCCAAAGCCAGGCCCCTTCTTCTTACTGCTTCTCAGCTCCAATGCAGATTCCTATTATTCGGCATTCAAAGCCTTTCCCACTCTGGTCCCAACCTCTCTTTCCAGCCTCAGTCCATTACTTCGTTTTACAAACTCTCTGAGCCTTCTCCCAGCTCCTCAGCCTCCCCTCTTCACACAAGAAGCATTACCTGCCCCGAGATGACTTTCATTTTCATTTCGTGTACATTTGAGCATACCTCCATGTGTCACTACTGTTCCCCCAGACTGAGGGCAGGAACCTTTCCCCTTCTGGCCTGGCCCATGGCACTTTATAGGAATGTTTGCTAGTTTCTCTCTAGCTGGCATGGGTTCAATCATCATCATGACACAGATGACCCAGCCCTGAGGGCAGTTTTGCCACACCCATGCTCCACCACTCCTCCAGGCTAGCACAGGCTTCCAAGTTCCTCATCCTCCTTCCCCTCTCCTTCCGTTTCCTCCATCTTGCCAACGAGGCTCCGCTCAGACCCCCCCAGCCTGCCCACCTGGCATGGAAAGCTCTTCCCAGCTGCCTCCCACTGACCTCCACCCCTTCACACTCTGCTCTATCAAACTGTCTTCCCCCACGGCTGGAGGGCACTCCTTCCTCACTGCTGCAGCATTTATTAAGTACCTACTGTGTTCCAAGCGCTGTGCCAAACCTTGGGAATACAAAGACCCACAACGAGCCAGGCTCTGCCCACAAGGGGCTCACAGTCTAACGAGGGAGACAGCCTGAAACAAGCGTACAGATAGATGGCACTGGGAAGGCCTGAAGGAAACCAGGCAGCTCCGTGGTCAGAGGTGAGGGGCAAGTGTTCCAGGCCTGGGGGCAGCCCAGAGGTGGAGAGTCTTGTTGAAGGAGCAGCCAGGAGGTATGTCGGTGCATGAAGACTGGAAAGCGGTCAGGGTGCTGATTATGAAGGGCTCTGAATGCCAACTGGAATTTCTATTTGATCCTGGAAGCCACAGGGAGCCACTGAGCGGGGGAGATGCCGCGGTCAAAACAGGGCTTTAGGAAAATCCCCGTGGTGGCTGAATGGAGGATGGGCTGGAGTGGGGAGAGACTGGCGGACCCCCAGCAGCTACTGCAATAGCCCAGGTATGAAGTGCCCACGGCCTGCACCTGGGAGGGGGGCGCATCAGGAGACAGAAGGGGGGCTAAGAAGAGATTCAAGACTTGGGAGTGGGAGGGCCTGGGACAGGATGGCACCCATGACAGTCGCCGCTCCAGCGCTCCCTCCTAAACGAGCCGCTCTCATGAGGACAGGGTCCTCTCTCAATTACTCTGTCCTTGCTTGCCATTTACTTATGTACGTGGATCTTCCCAGTGGACTATATGGTTCTTGAGGGAAGGGAGCATTTTCTTTTCGTCTGTTGTGTCTGGAACACAGTAGGCATTTAATAAACACTTATTGAAGTCAGCTTCCTCATAGGTTTAGGTTTACTTCTTAGACATTAAACCGTTATAGAAATGTGAACGATCGTTGTTAGGGATGGAGACGTTCAGGGAGAGGGGAAGGAACAGCTGGGGTTTTTGGCGTCGGCATCCACACTCGGGGAGTGCAGAGGACCCGAGTTATGTCTACACTGGAGAGAAGAAATAAGTCAGGTCCACACTGTGGGAGGCATTAAGTGAGGCTGCGCCGAGCCCTATGCACACCGGGATGAAGCGACGGGGTCCGTGCACCCTGGGGGGCTTCCCTGTGGCTGTGTCCAGCCCCCCCACCCCTTCACCACGTCCCCATCGCTGCAGAGTGTAAGCGGGGGGGGGGTCCCCGCGACGCTCGCATGGGGAGGGGGCCCGGTGGGCTGTGGCTCTGGGAGGGCTCCAGAAACGACGAACCCGCGCGTGTGTGTTGGGGGGAACTCCAACCTGAATCTAGAAAATTCCAGAGTCCCCAAGAGAGGTGGGGGAGAGGGAGACCAGGGATGGAAGGAGGGAGCGGGGGGGGGAGCGGCCTCCCCGGCCCCCTCCCAGGCTCTGGGGGGCGTGGGGGGGGTCCTGGCTAGGCACCCCCCCCACAGGACCCGGATGTGGGGGGGGTCACTGAGGGCAGGAACCCGGATGTCGGGGAGAAGGGCAGCGGGGACCCCGGTGGGGACCCATGAGGGGAGAAGGACAAGTCGGGGACGCGGGGCCCGAGGCCTCCCCGGTCTGAGGGGCGGGGGTCCGGGCAAGGGTCACTCACTACTCGGGGTTCATGGCGGCGGCAGCGGCCCCGGTCGGTCGCTCCCTCCCTGTCTGCTTCGCTCCGCCTCCCGCTCCAAGATGGCGGCGGCTCCGCCCCCACGCGCAGGCGCAGGCGCAGGCGCAGGTCCTCCCTTCTCCCTGTCGCACAGCGCTGCCTCTTGGAACCTGTAGTTCTCTCCTGCCTTCATTCTCTCCCCGGCCGCGCAGGCGCCCGGACACCGCGACGCATGTGTACCTCCTTGCTTGGCACCCCCCCCTCCACCGTACTCCCTTCTGGGATTTGTAGTCTTCTACTCATTCCCCCAATCCGAAGGGGCTTTTCCGGTGGAGGGAAGCCCGGGGAATTTGGGGCAATAATCATTACACCTATAGCCTACGTCTACACATCACCTGCTCTACCCCTTAGTAGCTGTGTACCCTTGAACAGGTCACCTAACATCGTCTCTGGCCCTCAGTTTCTTCTATTAAAATGAGGGAGGGGCTTGAGGCCATTCTTCCATATTTATTGGTGCGCATCCTGCCTGCCCTCATGGTAGGCAGGGTGAGCCCCTGAGCCCCCCCTTCTCCTCGCTCCTCTCCCCAGCAGTTTGGAGCACTCTCCCACCCCAACCCCAACACGAGGGATGGGAAGGCTGCACAGCTTCCATCGACAGACTGGACTCATCGGGATTCAAACTGGCTTTATTTCTACAGCAACATCTGAACAAAGCAAATGGGTTCCCCAGCCCACCCCAACCCTGCCCCCTCCCAGCTCCGGGAGAGGAGTGCAGCCCCCTCCCTCAGAGTCTGGAGGGGAGAACTGGGAGCAGTAGGAGCCCCAGGAATGGCTCAGCGGGCGGTACCTTGGGAGGGAGGGGGCGGCAGGGAAGGGTTTCGGAAGTCCCTGGAATGTGGCTCAAAGGGAGTGCTTTAGGCCCAGGCACCATGCCCCGGAAGGAACAAAGATGAGAAAAGTGAAGACGGTGTCAGCTACTGTAGACGAGAAGGTACCGTAGGGGGCATGGCCCTTCCATCCTACACTAATGGGGTTTCAGGGGGTGAGAAGGCAGGCTCCATCATTTGGGCATATTTCTGCACTTGTGTGCGTCCAAGACCTTGTCTGCAAGGGGTTAAGGCCTGGGTGGCATCCCTGGACAGGGAAAGGGCTAGAGGAGGTACCACGGACAGGCAGTGGGGAAGGGAGTGGCCAATAACTTATTTCTCTATATACAGAAGCGGAGGCCTGGGTAAGGGAGGAGAGGGAGGCCTGGTGGTATTCTCTTTCTCCAAGGCCAGGTGGCCCAGCCTGCTCTGGGAAGCTCTGCCAGGCACCCGCTTTTCACCTTCCTGGCTCCCACTGGGAGGAAGGGAAGAGGGAAATAAATACAAGGGCGGGGGGAATCCTGGCTCCTCTCTGCACTGTCACCAATGTGACGCTTCTCGGTTTTGTGACTAACAGTGCTAGACCGGGAGGGGAATAAGCTTTGAGCTGCTAAGCCTGAAATGACAGGGGGAGAGGTTACCCTGAGATCAAACAAAAAACACTGAGGGAGGGGACCTGTGGGAAACAGCATTTGGGGGAAGGGTGGCCTACGCAGGGCGGGAGCGAGGCTGAGGATCAGGTGGCCCCCTGCGCCTGCCGTCCCTGCGGGAGATGACGAGGAGTCAAGGAGGGCCCAGGCCCTCCCACCCCTCCCTCTTAGCCAAGGAGAGAGCTCCGTCGAGAGAGGTCAAGGGAGCTGGAGCTGAGCGTGCGGCTGTCGGACAGGTTGGTGTCGCCGGGCTGTGGGCAAACAGGGAGGGTTAGAGAAAGGTCCACCTGCCTCATCCTCACATCCTGGGACGCAGGGGTCAGGGGGTCTTTGCACGTGGGAACCACCACAAGTCTGGTGAAATTCCAAGAGGCCCTGCCCCCCGGGGATGCCTGACAGAGGTCCTGCCAGAAAGGCCTTTGGCCTTTGGTCTGGAGAGGCATTTATTGGGTGGGGGCGGTGCCGGCCACGGCCTCTCCTGCAGGCAACTCAGACTGGCACCAGGCTCTGAGAATCAGCCAGAAAAGTGGGCAGGGAGACCACCTACCCAGGGTCCCTGAGCCACACCCACGGTTCCTGGCACCCTATGCTGGCTGCAGAGATACTGTCTGCCCTCAGGAAGCTTAGGTTCTGTTCACAAAATGGTCCCAAGGGGGAGGGAGCACCTACAGTCTGGGAGGGGAGGGGTGCTGGGTCCTCCCCGGCTCTCCGTACCTGGATGGCCTCTTCTGTGCTCTTGTGCAGGAAGTTAAGGGAACTGGCTCGCTTCATCCTGCAGGAGGGAGAGAAGGAGCTGACATTTCCTAGGGGAAGGCAGCTTGGAGAATTTGAAAGCCAGAGGGAGGCCAGACTGGGGGCCAGGGAGGGCGGGGCTCTCACCGAGGGTTGGGAGGCTCTTGGGGTCCGCCCCCCTGCAGCTTCTTCACCAGCATCTCACTGCTGCGCCTCAAGGCATCGCGAAGCTTCCCAAAGGAGCCGCTTCTCCGGAGAGCACCGCTGCCATCCTGGGGGCAGAGGAGCCAGCCACGCTGCTTTCCACCCTGCTGCCCCCTCCCCGCCACCCCTTCCCCCACCCCCGACCGACTCTCAATGGCCCCCTCACCCCGGCCCACTCGGCTGCAGGCCCCGAATCCTCAGGCTGTGGGTCAGCCTGAGATCCCGTGCCTCCAACGCCCTCTCGGCCACTCCGGCGCTCCCCTCGCCCGCTGCCATCTTTCAGCAGCTCCACAACCTTGGTCTGGCTCACGGCATCCAGGCCCTGGTTGCAGGAGGAGAGGGTTGAGGTAGAGGTGAAGCGGAGAAGTTCCCTGACCCCTCCTGCCTTGGCCTTCCAGGTCCCATGCCAACCTGCTTCCGACTGCGGCTGGCACAGTCCTCCAGCGTGTGAGCCGCCTCCATCTTCCCTTGCCGGCGGTAGAGAGCCCCGAGGCTCCGCAGCGTGGTGTTCACCGTGGGGCTGGGGGACGAGGCAGCATGACCCAGGGGCCCTCGCGGCCTCTGCTCACCAGCCCCAAGGCCCGCAGCCTCTGAGGCCCCGCAGCCCCTAAGGCCCCCAGCTCCTGAGACTCCCCAGCCCCAAGGCCCTCAGCCCCTGAGACTCCCCAGCTCAGCCTCTCTCACCTGTCCACTTTACAAGCCTTGTACCAGCCACCGTATTCTCCATAGGGAGTGGTGTCCCGACGCTTATCCTGAGGGGGAGGAGAAAAGTCAAGTCGCAGGAAGGGAAAGGGCTGAGGCCGAGCCCCGCCGTAAGAGGGCTGAGCCCTGGTCTCTGCCCCCCATACCTTGCTCTCCTCCCGCTCTTCGGCGTGCATCCAGATAGGCTTGTTGTCTCCTGGGGGAGACAGAAAGGAGGGGCTGTCACAGGGCCTGGAGCCCAGCCTGGCCAAGGGCAGGGGGCTGGGGGGGGGGGGGCAGGGGAGCACTTGCCATTGACTGAGCCGAACTCCTTCTCATGGGCACGAGTCAGGATCTCTTTATACAGGGTTTCTGCGTCTTGGTACTTGCCCTGCTTCAGGTAGCAAGAGGCCTGAGGAAGGGGGAGACGAGGGGGACAGTGAAGGCTCTGGCCTAGCCACCAGCCCGGCCCTGCCCCCCCCGGGACCTCCCCCCCTCCAGGGCCTCCCCCTCCCAGGCCTCCCTCGGCGCAGGCACCAGGTTGTTCTTGGTCTTGGCCACATTGGGGTCGTCTGGGCCCAGCCGGGCCTCGTAGATCTCCAGAGCACGCCGGTAGTAGTACTCCACCTCCTCGGCCTTGCCCTGGTTCTGGCACAGCAGGGCCAGGTTATTCAGCTGCTTGGCCACGTCCGGGTGGAATCTGCCCAGCACCTAGGAGCAGGTGGACGCTCCCTTCGCTTGTGCTCTGACCCAGCAGCCGCCACCCCGGCCGCCCCACTGCTCCTACAGCCCCCGGGGGGAAACGGGCCCAGCGGGCTCTACCTTCTCTCGGATCTCCAGGGCTCGCTTACACAAGGGCTCTGCTTCCTTGTATTTGCCCCTTTTGCCATACAGGACTGCCAGGTTGTTCAAGGTAGCTGCCACCTGGGACCAGGGCGAAGGAAGGAAGAAAGCTGCAGGGCCCTGGGGAGAGAGGGCCCTCATTCACCCCCCACCCCCAGCCCAGGGAGGCCAGGCCTGCTCACAGCTGGGTGGTCCTTGCCCAAGGTCTTCTCCCGGATGGCCAGGGCATCGTTGAGCAGGTGGGCGGCTTCTTTGTATTTATTCTGATCCCTGAGGGGACAAAGAGATGGCATGGGGGGCAGGGGAAGGACCACCTGACCCCGAGAAGAGCACAACGGCTACTCGCGGGACCTCGGTTAAGTCGCTGCCCTCCCTGGACTGCCTGCTCCCCATCTGTAAAATGAGACTCCTGCCAGTTCTAGAGCCAGGACCTCGCCCGGGCTGTCGGGGCACACACATGCTCCCTTTCTTCAGGAGATTTACGGTTTCCATAAGGGGCTTGGGGCAGGGGAAGGGGAGGAGGGCCAACTCAGAGGAGTGATGGGCTAATGAGGGGCTTTCAGGCATCAGTGAAGGTTTTCTTGGGGTGGGGAGGAGGTGCTCATTACCCCACACCGGCCCCTCCCTTCACCTGAGTAGGGTCAGAATCCAAGGCTGCTTCTCATTCAATCATTGTCCAGTCTTGCCTGACCCTTTGTGACCCCACTTAGGATTTTTTTGGCAAAGATACCGGAGGGGTTTGCCATTTCCTTCTCTAGCTCGTTTCACAGATGAGGAAACTGAGGCACACAGGGAGAAATGACTTGCCTAGGGTCACTCAGCTCCTAAGTGTGTCTTCCTGCCTGCAGGTCCGCACCCTGTGCCCCTCAGCACTGAGCTCCAGGCGTCCCCTTACCGATACACGAGAGCTAAGATGTTCAGCATGGTGGCCACATCGGGGTGGTCATGTCCTGAGGTCTTTTCCAGGTCCTCCAGGGCTTGCTTACAGAGGGGCACAGCTACCTCATAGCGCCCCTGAGAGGCGTACTGAATCACCAGATTGTGCAAGGTCCTTAGCCTGGCGGGAATCTCGTAGCCTCCATGCTGGGCAGCAGCATCTCCACCCCCAGGGCCCTGAGCTGGAGGAAGGCAGGAGGTCAGAGGGGGCCCCAGGGCCCAGAAATAAGGGCTGTCTACCGGCTGGGGCAGTGCAACTGCATGCTGGGGAGTCCTGGGAGCTTCCTTCATCTGTTGCATACTTCTGGGTCCTCAGGATATGCAATCACCCCCCTTCTGAGAGGCATATAGATGGTCACCTTCCTCCCGACCAGTCACAGAGCCCACAGTTAAGAGACCCCCTTCTCCCCACCTCCCTACCTGGGTTCTGTTCCTCCTCGTTAGGGAACAAGTCATCCACAGAATCCTTGGAAACATCCCCCTTCTCCTCCTGAGGAAGGAAGGGATGGAATCAGGAAACCAGAAGAAAAAGAATCACACACAGGGGAAAAGAAATAGAGGATCCCGCAGAGCGAGGGGAGCCAGGGATCCCTTGGGTCAGCCAGAGTACGACCGGTGGGCAGGACCCCGGGTGGTCAGATGCAGGGAAAGCCCCCCAGCCGGAGGAGGTTGGGGCCAGGGCTCACGTTGGGAGAAGGGTCCTCGTCCAGCTTCCGGATCTGGCTCATAAACAGCAGGTGCTGCTTCTCCTCCTCCAGCTGGACCACGGCCTGCTCGCTGCGCTGCAGCTTCTGCTGGGTCCCGGCCAGCTCCTCCCGGAGCCACTGGTTCTCCTGCACCAAGCGGCGCACCTGGGCCCGGAGCTTCTGTTTCTCTGACTCTACGGCCCCAAGGTGGCCTGACAGTGCCAGGATCACCTATGGCCCCTCGGCCAGGAGAGAAGGCTGAAGGGGGCGGCCGGGGTGGGAGGACAGGACTCCAGGTCCCCTCTCCCACGCTTGCCTCCCCTAGACCTCAAATGCTCCTGCTCCCAGACCCCCCGGTACCTGAGCTTCCCCAAGTCCCAGCTCGATGGCTTCCAGGGATCGGCGCAGGAGCCCCGAGCGCTCCTGGGTTGCGGGCTCAGCCTCTCCTGCCTCCCGCCCGGCCACATTCTCCAGCAGGGAGGCCAGCAGGGCCCGGTGCTCGCCCCGCAGGGTCTCCAGCCCCTGGATGACTGCCTTGGTACCCAGCACGATCTCATCCTGACTCAGCTTCTCCTCCCGGGACATCACCAGGGTGGCCATGGCTGGAGGGCTTGGATTTGGGAGGAGGCCCCTGCGGGGGGGGGGGAGGACGAGGATGCTCGGGCTCTGACAGCCTGGGGGGGGGGTTGCCCCCCAGTGAGGGTCCTGCCTGGAGCTCGGCCGGGACTTCCTACAGTGGCCTCCAGGGGGCGTCTCCAGCTGCCGCTCTCCAGACGCATTGCAGTGGGGACCGGCCCCTTCTCTGCCCCCACCCCGGGGACCCTGGGGAGGGGGCAAGGAAGGGGCCACCCTTGGGTGGTGGGGAGGACCCCCGATTGTTGGCGGGTGTATGGAGTCCTGCCTTGTCCATCCGCTAGGGATGCAGGTCCTTCTGGGGGGCGATCTCCACCCCCACCCCTTCCCTCTAAACTGTACACAACTTGTAGTATGTCTGGAGAGTTATTCCTTGTAGACCCCCCCCGGGGAGCACCCCTTGACAGAGAGGGGAGCTCCCCATTCTCCTGGGGGCACCCCGTAATAGAGGGAAGCTTGCCCTCACCCTGGGAATGCTCCATGACAGAGAGGAGAGCTCTGGCTCCTCTTGGGGGGCACCTCATAATAGAGCCGAGCTCCCCGTTCTCTTGGGGCCATCCCGTAATATAGCGGGGCTCCCCTTCCTCCTGGAGGGCACCCCCTAATAGAGCGGAGCTCCCCCTCCTCCTGGGGGGTACCCCGTAATGGGGGGGAGCTCCGCGCCCCCAGGGATGCCCCATGACAGTCCCCGAGGGGCGCCGAGGGCCATGGGGAGCCCCCCCATCCCGTAGGGGGCGCCCGAGGCGGAGGGGTGAGCTCCCGGTCCATCGTCTTCTCCCCAGAACGACGCCCCGCCCTGCCTCGGCTCACCTGCGCGCCCCAGCCCAGCCCCAGCCCCGGCCGGCCTCCTCGGCCTCAGCTGCCCCACACGGCCCGCGCAGGCTCCATCGCCGCTTCTCCCGGCAGCCCCCGCGCCCACCCCCGCGCCTGCGCGATCGCCGCCGCCGCGGGCCTTAAAGGGGAGGGGAGGGTGCGAGGGGGCTGCCTTAAAGGGGAAGGCTAGCGGGGGAGGGGGAGAGGAGCGACACCCCCCCACCCCCAGCGGAAGGGTGGGGTTTGCTGGGAAGCGAGAGCGGGGCTGCCCTTGGGTGTGCCGTGTTTACACTCCCCAAACTCCCCCATCCCTCTTTCCTTCCATCCCCCATCCCCCATCTCCCTACCCCTCCATCCCCCATCTCCCTATCCCTCCATCCCCCATCTCCCTATCCCTCCATCCCCCATCCCCCCATCTCCCTATCCCTCCATCCCCCATCCCCCATCTCCCCATCCCTCCATCTCCTCCATCCCTCCATCCCCTCCATCCCTCCATCCCCTCCATCCCTCCATGCCCCCATCCCCCCATCTCCCCATCCCTCCATCCCCTATCCCCTCCATCCCTCCATCGCCTCCATCGCTCCATGCCCCCATCCCCCCATCTCCCCATCCCTCCATCCCCTACCTGGCTCTGCCTCTCCTCTGGTCACAGAACAGGCCGCACGAGCTCCCCGACCGCTGCTGCCCCTGGAAACAAGCCCGAGGTTGACCAGCAAGCCCGAGAGCGCCCCGGGCGGGGCCGCACCTGCTGGTTTTCCTTGCCCCGCGGGACTCTCAGCAGATGCAGGCGGCCAGGTCACGGGGACCTGGCCCACCACGGCAGGGGCGCGGCGCACCAGCCATACCACCTCTTATCGCCTAGGTGTGCCAGAAGCTGGCCGGCGTCCCCGGAGCTGCTTTCGTCCTTCCTCTGGGGATCCCGACGGCTTTGCAGCGTCACGCCTGGGGCCCCTGCTTCATTTGCTCCGTCTACCCCAGGCTCCCGGTGGAGCATGTCCAGCTGATGACCTTTGCCTGCCCCTCACAGGGCTCACTTCCAGACCCCATACGCAAACGGACCTGTAATTTCGGAGTTGGTTTGGAAGCCTTTCTCTCTTACCTGTCTTCCTAGAAGTGTGTTTCAAAGGCCATCCTTCCCTCCCCTGACTACAGCCCCGTCTGGTTCCGTCCAGTCCCATCCCGGGCTTTTCTCCGTTTTTCATGACTTTTTAAGGACGTTTGAATCTTTTTCACTCATACCCTTCTTGAGGACCTCTTTTACTCCAGTTATGGCTCCAGCATTGTTTTATTTCAGCCCCAGTCAATCAACACTTACTTACTAAGCGTCAAACTATTTAGAAATACGACAGGCACAGGGTAGGATCAATCAGTGTTCTGGCTTTGTAAAAGTTCCTTCACCACTCAGGTCCCTCTGGTTCTGGGATCTTTCCCTAGGGGCTCGGTCAGAAGACTTATATGCGCATAAAACAGAATGAAACAAGATAACTATATCCAATATTTATACAGTTTTTTTAAGGTTCACAAACCCCTATACACAATCACCTTATTGGACCTCAGCAGTGTGGAAGGTCCCACACCTAGCCACCTCCTGTGACTCACTTTAAATGGCTTATATTTGGCCTGCCGAAGACTGAGTTAATATTTACAGTTTAATAACTGTGGGATCCTCAGCACCTTCTTCCTCCCTTTCCCACCGAGGCACCATCACCACTGAGTGGTGTCACAGGACCCAGGGTTCTTTGGTCCTTTTCCTGGTTGCCTGGGTTGTAGTCGTGGTCAAAAAATTCATCTAGGAGCCTACTTGGTAGTGGTGAGCCCCTCACTTGTGCTTGGGCTGATCCTCAGCTGAAAGTTAGAAGTGTCAAAGAATGGGATTGACCTTGTGCCATGGAAGTGTAGAACCATTCCAGGGTGAGGCTTTGGAGCAGGACTTTGGAAGTTGGGAGGGAATAGAGATATCGTCTAGTTGTATCCAACTCTTTGTGACCTCGTATGGTTTTTTGTTTGGGCAAAGATACTGCAGTGGTGCACCATTTCCTTCTTCAGCTCATTTTACAGAGGAGGAAACTGAGGCAAGCAGGGTGAAGTGATTTGCCTGGTGTCACACAGGTAGGAAGTATCTGAAACTAGAAGAGGAGTCTTCCTGACTCCTAACTGGGTCCTCCGTCCTGTAGTTCTCTTCTCGGTGACCTCATCAGACCCCATCAGGTCCCAAATCTGTATCTCAGCACCCTGAGCCTCAATGCAGCATCACCAACTGCCCGTCAGACATTTCCAATTGGATGTTGTCGTAACTATCTCAAATTCAATACATCCAAAATAGAGCTATCTTTTTCTTCCAACCTACCCTGATTTGACACTTTCTAGTTTGTGGCATGGTCCACCGGGTCAAGAAGAGTCAGACATGACTGAACTACTGAACAGCAATACAAATTTCTGTGTAGGGCATTGCCTTGATTCTGGTCTCCTAGGTTGGAACCCAAATCTTGTTTCTCCTGACATGCTGTCCCTCATGTCTGGCTGTTTCTGGTTGTCCACAGGACAACTATCTTAGCTTATACAATGGCCTCTTAATTAGCCTTCTTCTAGTCTGCCTCTAGTCTCTCTCTCCCCCAAAGCATCTTCCACAAAGCTGCCCGAAGGGTCTTCCTTCTGCACAGATCTGGTCATATGACTTCTCCACGCTCTACACTATAAGGGGTCTCCTATGGCCTCTAGGATAAATGAGAAAAACCTGTTTTTCTTTTAAAGTCCTCTGCAGTCTGGCCCCAGACTATGTCATCCTGGATATCGCTCTCCCTCCCATACGAAGATGTTGCCAGACTGGATGCTGGTTCTTATGCTATACTCCATCTCCTGCCTCTGGGTCTTTGCATTGGCTGGTCCCCGTGCCTGGAGTGCCTGCTCTCCTTACCTCTCCTTCTTAGAATCCTTTACTTTCAAGACTCAAGCCAAGAGTAGACTTCTTCTTGAATTCTTTCTTGATGCCCCTAGCTGCTTGTTCTTCCCTCCACCAAAACCATGTTGTATTTATTCTGTATGCATTTATATATGTAAGTCTCCCCTGATAGACTGTAAACTCCCTGACTTCAGGGACTGTTCCATTTTCATCATTGTGTTCCACCATTATGAATATCAAAATTAACTATGAAGGACACATGTAGGAAAATGCCATTTGCATCCAGAGAAATAACTGATCCATAGAAGTATGCCTAGAATAATTTTATGTATCTATACCTATTTGTATCTAATGGTAGCTATATCCAGGATGAGGGGGGAGGGAAAAAAAGGGGGGGAAAAAAGACATTTACATGATAACTTTATTATATATTTAAAAGGAATAGCAAGTTGTATATAATAGATTTGCAGTTTCATGTGCAATGCTTTTTTTAATTATACTGTGTTATAGAAATGCTTGTTTTAGTCCATAAATTAAAAATGAATATAACATTTAAAGAGAGGCCGCTAGGGGGCGCCATGGTTCACAGAGCACCAGCCCTGGAGTCAGGAGGATCTGAGGCTAAATCCAGCCTCAGACACTGAAGAAGCCATGTCATCCTGGGTAAATCACTTAACCCTGATTGCCTCAACAACAACAAAAAAAAAAAAGGGAGGGGAAGGAGGAACCCCTCAGGGGCAAGGTGTAAATGTTCAGTGAAGAGCAGAGCTGGCCAGGTTAGATGTAGACTCGCTGATCAGAGGGGCCGCAGGGGGTGGAGACATCCCCCACTTGAGGAGGCAGCCGGAGATGGGGAAAGACAGAGAAGTCGAGGGAGTCGAGAGCGGTGCTGGGTTAGAAGGGAGAACAGCGGGGAAGGGGAGCTTGGGTTAAGTGATTCGGGTAGGGTCACACAGCCACGTGAGCGTCAGGCATTTCTCCCCGATTTCAAGTCCATCGCTCTTTCCCTCCTCTGCAGCTTTGCCGTGGAGAGCCGGGTGGATGAACTTGGTCGGAGTGAGGCTCTCATCGGCGAAGACTTGCGTTCGTGCCCTCCAAATCTTCCACCCTCCTCCTTCATATTCTCCACCTGTGTTTAGATGCCTTTGGAGGTCAGGCCACTCTACTGGGCAAGCTTTGTTAAGCACTTCCTGCATGCCAGACGCTTGCTCGGCCCCTCATTGTATTGACTGATTTAAATCAGAGAATCACACAACCAGGGAGGTGAAGGGGACCTCGGCAGCCTCTAGTCCAATTCGGCCATGAAAGGAAGCCCGATAAGTGGTCACCCACCTTCTGCTTGGCGTCCCATTCCACTCAACAGCTTCCCTCAGGAGGTTTTTCTTGATGCCAAGCCTAGAGTTGCGTTTTTTCAACTTCCCCTCACAATTCCACTCTCTGGGCAGAACAAGTTAGAATAAATCTAATTGCTGTCCCATGTGACAACTCTTCAAATACTTGACAGCTATCATATCTCCCTGAAGTCTTCTCCAAGCTAAACATTCCTAGTTCCTGCCCTCCCCCATCATGGTGGCCTCCTCTGGGCACTCTATAGCTTATTAATGTCCTTCCTAAATGGCGATAGCAAGAGCTGAACTGTTTACTCTGGATGAGGTCAGGTGATGGCAGAAGACAGGGGGACAATCACTGCCTGCTTCACGGGAAGCATGGACTTCTTAGTGCAACCCAAGGTCACCCCATGAGCCTTCTTGGCTGCTCAATCCCAGTACTGAATCCTATTGAGCTTACAGTCCACCAAGGCCCCAGATCTTTTTCAGAACAACTGCTGTCCAACCCTGCCTCCTCCATCTTATGCTTTTAAAGTTGATTTTTTTTTAATCCAAATGCAAGACTCTGTATTTATCTCTATTAAATTTCATCTTCTTAGAGTCAACCTAATGTTCAAAATGTCTTCAGATCTCGGCTTTGTCATCCAGTGTACTTAGCTTGATGTCATCTGAACATGGGATGATTATACCATCTATGCCTCCATCCAAATCTTGGATAGAAACATTAAACAGCACAAGATCCCTGGGTTACTCCGCTGGCGACCTCATGCCACATTGACACAGAGCCATTAACTACTGTTTTTTGAGGCTCACCATCCAACAGATTCTAAGTCCTTATGAGTGAATTCTCATGCAATCCACATCTCTCCCTCTTCTCCACTAGAAGAGACATAAAAGGTGTTGGCATTCCTGGATGAAAGAGCAGGTGTCAGGGAGTAAGGTAGAAGAAGACTGGAAAGGTAGGAGGGAGTCAGTGATGAAAGGCTTTGAATGCCAACCAGAGGATTTTGTATTAGATCTTGGAAGCAACAGGGAGACACTGGAGTTTACTGAGTAAGGGGGAGGGGTGACGTGATTGGACATGCTTTTTAGGAAAATCCCTTCGGCGCCAAGGATGGACTGGACTGGGGAGAGAATCAAGGCAGGCAGACCCACCCCTAAGCTATTGAGATATTGAGGTGATGAGTGTCTGCACCAGGTGGGAGCAGTGTCAGAGGAGAGAAGGGAGTGTATTTGAGAGATGTTGCAAAGGTGAAATCAACAAGTCTTTGCACCATATTGGACGTGGGGAGCAAGAGATCATGAGAAATCCTGGGCAACTCCTAGGTTTTGAGACTGAGAGACTGGGAAGAGGGTGTTGTCCTCTACGGTGAGAGGGAAGATAGGAATGGGGAGGTTTTAGGGCAGATCATGAGTTCTGTTTTTGGACATATTAGATTTAAGATGTATGCTGGACATGTTTGAGATGTCTGAAAGGCAGCTGGAGATATGAGATTGGAGGTCAGTTGAGAGATTGGGGCAGGAGAGGTAGATTTGAGAATCATCAGCACAGAATCACTAAATCCATGGGTGCTGACAAGATCACCAAGTGAAGCAGTATAGAGGGAGAGGAGAAGAGGGCCCAGGACATAGCCCAGAGGGACATCTA